CAAGTAGATGGTGTGACGATGGGCTCACCTGTATCTCCCATTGTCGCCGACATATTTATGGAAGACTTTGAGGAGAAAGCCCTGCTTAGTTCACCCATAAATCCAAGATTCTACAAGCGGTACGTAGACGACACTTTCACAATTCTACCTTTAGACAAAGTAACTGCATTTTTAGACCATCTTAACTCTATAAATTCTAAAATTCAGTTCACAATGGAGTTAGAGGCAAACAATTCCTTAGCTTTTCTAGATGTGTTAGTAATTCGGAATCCTGATAACACCTTGAGCCATACTGTGTATAGAAAAAAAGACCCATACAGATAGATATTTAAACGGTGATTCTCACCACCATCCTTCACAGTTAGCTACCGTGGGTAAATCTTTGTTTCAGAGAGCACGAGGGATCTGTGACAGTAAACACCTGGCTGCAGAGCTCCACCATGTCAAGCAAGTTTTGCATGACAACAAGCTTCGAGTCCCGCGCCTACGTCACAGTGAACGAGTGAAGCCGGCCACAGTCGAGCGTGTACCTGCTGTACTGCCATATGTTAGAGGAGTCACTGACAAGATTGGCTACATCTTGAAGCGCGCTTCCATCAAAACATACTTCAAGCCGCTAAAGAAGATTGGTCAGTTTTTACCATCAGTCAAGTGTAATGTCCCTCTGCAAGATGCAGGAGTGTACAAGCTTGATTGTGAATGTGGTCTCTCCTACATAGAACAAACTAAAAGATCAATAAAAACCCGCGTTAAAGAACATGTAGCTGATGTGAAGAATCGACGCTCCAGGAAGTCTGCAGTCCGTGAACACGTACAGGATCGCCCCCGTCACTACATCAGATTTGATAGACCGCAAATCCTCGATAAAGAACACCGATTCCTTCGAAGGATGATTCGCGAGGCTATTGAAATCAAAAAACATCCTAATTTCAATAGAGAAGATGGCTGGGTGCTACCATCTGCTTGGGATCCTATAATAAATAAAATTAAATCCCAACCCAAGCATACAACTGCAAGACTTCAAGATACCGTAAGTTCATACTGCATAGATCGGAACAAAAGTTAAATTTTAATCTATGGTAACCGCAGTTAACTATGACATATGGACGTTGAACATCTCAGTCCCGCCCGTGACCATGAGTGCTGTAAAGCGTTCGAAACGTCGGGTATTTAAAAAGTTAAATATACGCGATAAATTCCGCAAAAACTAGTATTATTTCAATGATACTCACTTCCCAGGTTGCTGTGTAGTTGAAAGGGTGAACCGGCATGAAGACGCACCGACACCAACAAAAGAAGACTGGAAATTAGCACAAAGAGTGGCGACGATGGACAAAATCCATTGGGCCATTCATAGTTTCCAACCCTATAAGGCAGCAGGACCTGACGGCTTATTCCCGGCACTTCTTCAGTGGGGGGGGGGGGGTTAAGTCCTAATAGTCAGACTTGTTGCCATAATGAGAGCACGTCTGGCTCTTAAATATCTTCCTAGGGGATGGAGGGAAGTGAATGTCACGTTCATACCCAAACCAGATAAGAATGACTATACAGACCCTAAATCCTACAGACCCATTAGCCTCACATCCTTTCTCCTAAAGACGATGGAGAGGATGTGTGAACGGGAGTTAAGACAGTCGGCGCTAATTAACTTACCGCTACACGAAAAACAACACGCCTATAGCTTAGGTAAATCAACAGAATTGGCACTTCACCAGGTAGATAATAACAAAGATTGAAGAGGCCATCCAAAACAAAGCAATATGTCTAGGCTCCTTCATAGACATAAAGGTGCTTTTGACAGAACAAATTTCTCCAGCATAAAAGGTGCCCTAAGTAGACATAATGTTGAACCGGCGCTAATTGACTGGATAGTAAACATGCTCAGTACACGAACAATAAAGATTGCTGGTGAATCTCAGACAATTCAGATCATGAAAGGATGCCCGCAGGGTGGGGTTCTTTCACCTCTCCTGTGGAATATGGCATTAGAATATAACAAACCATCACATCTAACACCCTCTACACCCAAAACCCATCATTTATTCTCTCTGCCACCCACCACATGTTCATTAATGAACTCATTAGCAAATTAAACGCTAATCATTTCTACACAGTCGGTTATGCAGATGATCTGACAATACTGGTCTCTGGTAAGACAGCAAGCATTGTGTGCGACCAGACCCAAGCGGCTCTCCATATTGTGGAGAGATGGTGCAGTGAATATGACCTAACCGTTAATCCAAATAAAACAGATATAGTAATGATCACACAAAAACGAATGCTGAATAACTATCATCTTCCAAGTCTTTTCAGCACAAAACTCCAACTTTCTTCCGAGGTAAAATACCTAGGTCTTACCTTGGACAGTAAACTTAACTGGAACAAACACATAGAAAACAAAATCAGCAAAGCTAGTTTAACTTTCTGGCAGTGCAGAAACATGATCGGCAAACGATGGGGTTTAACGCCAAAAATTATACTGTGGCTGTACAAAACTGTAATTCGGCCCATGATCACATACGGCTCTCTGGTATGGTGGACCAAAACCAATGAAGCCACCACTATACAAAAGCTTCAGCATTACCAAAGATTGGCTTGTATGGCTGCCACGGGCTGCATAAGGACTACACCAACAGCAGCTTTGGAGGCTATGCTGGAGCTAACACCGCTTCATCTACATATACAACAAGAAGCAACTTTAGCTGCCATTAGACTCAAGACCCTAAATCTTTTAAGTGAGAGTAGAGTCCCTCATACAGATATAATCGATAGAATTAACTCAAAAATTCCTATCTTACAAGCCAAGTATGATAGGATCCCAAAACAATTTGTATTCGATAAGAAGTACAGGATACAATTGAAGGAAACTGACCATCTGGAAGGATTGGGTCCAAGAGAGCTTAAAGTTTTCACGGATGGCTCTAAGACAAATGAAGGTGTGGGCCTGGGGCTTTCTCTGAAGACCTTAATATCCACATATGCACACCGCTGGGTACCCACAACACAGTCTTCCAGGCTGAATGCATGGGTATCATCCAAGCGGCCATAGCAATAGATGCTAGGAAGGTGAAAGACTTCTCCATCAGAATACTGACCGACAGTATGGCGGTACTACAAGCTCTGAGTTGCAATGTGACGAACTCGGGACTGATACACGAGTGCCATCAACGATTGAATGAGGTATGTAAGTACAACAATGTGACTCTGCAATGGATCAAGGGACACAGTGGATTTAGAGGCAACGATGCGGCAGATGAACTGGCCAGAAGGGGATCGGCCCTAGCAACTACAGGGCCGGAACCAATAATACCAATCCCCTTTGGCTACGTTCATTCACTGGTACGTAGATACTTCAATAATTTACACGCTCAGCTTTGGAAAAATTTAGTAGACTGTAGACAAGCTAGGGAAGCCCTGCCTGAAATAAACAGTCGTCTAACCAAGGTTCTAATGAGACTAAACAAGCCACAGATCAGGATAGTAACAAGTGCTATCACAGGACATGGCTCTTTTAACAAACATTTGTTCACCATAGGTGTTACTGATAGCCCCCTGTGCAGGGCATGCATGGGAGAGGAAGAAACGGCGGCTCACGTGTTGCTGACATGTCCAGAAGTCGCTTCATACAGGGCTAAACATCTCGGCACGCCGGGATCGCTCCCCGAAGTTGCTTGCAACATCAAGGGACTGTTGAGCTTCTTCGGGGAGATATCATGGCTCGAATAAGCATATTATTTCTGCCCACACGCAAAATACGCGCTTAGACGTGGAGTTGCGGAAAACAGCGTGTCGTAAACTAAACTAAACTACTAGATCGCGGTATCAACTATGACACGCAACAATAATAAATAGGAGAGCGGCTTTTATGTGGTAGAGCCATTCTGTAGGTATTGGTTGTAGCACAAATGGGTTAGCTCGACTACGTAAGGATCACGCTCGCACAGAAAACCAGCGAAATATAGCAGTTTAGTGCTGCTGTGTTTCGTATGGTGAGTGTAGAGAACCGGAGACCCTTTTTACTGGAAACAAGGCGTTCCATCTTAGTCCTCACGGGTGACAACGCATCTGCATTTTGATTCCTAATCGAGGTTATATGTAGATGTCTATGGGCCGCAGCAACTACTTACCATCAGGTGGACAGTGTGCTCGTTTAGTCACACATATTCTACAAAAAACGAAACTTTTTTTAAAGTTGTAACAAGTCGGTAAATAAGAGTATAGGTTTTATTCTGAAATTTAGGAATTGTATAACTAACGAACTTCCTCTCCAGTTTCAAGAATCAGTTCCGGAATCGAATGCCTCCCAAAATTGCAAGCCCTGGTGAATTTTATGCTATTAGCAAAGTAGCTTTAAGATTTAAGATCTTCGACAAATACATATTGTACTGGAGAGAGCTGCGACTTTGCTGGCTGATTTTTAAATGCAATATATCTATTATTTCGACGTAAGAAAATAAATTTTAATTTGTCGAACGTATTTTTTTTAAATCTACCACCGTATCGAAATGAGGTTTGCTGACTGGAAAAGAAATTTAGATGTTTGATACAATTTTTTATGTAATAAGTAATAACTCTATTAATGTTTTCTATGTTTATTTTTACCATCACTTAAGTAAATGATGCCAGAGTAATTTAAGTCTTTATTATTCTTTTTTTTTTAAGGATATTAACACTAAAATTTTCTCCTGTACCATGGAAGCAGTTTACAAACATAAATTGCACAAGAGAACAAACACCCAGACGAGAAAAAAATATTTGTAGGCTATATAAATAAGTACTAGTTCCGTGCGGAATCCGAACCCGTGGCCCCCAGCGCGGAACTCATCGCTAAGTCACTGCGCCACAGAGCCATCAAGTTTTCTAAATGCGGAAAGAATCTTTATCTTCTAATGCCAAGCTAAGCGATCAATATAATTATCCCAACCTGGAATATAATATTATGTCCAACAGTGGACTTTTTATGCTGAAATATTGCAAACGTACTCTGATCTTATACCGACCTCTTTCAAAGCATCAACAAGTGCTAATACTAAGCAAACTTCTTCCAAGTTTGAAATTGTTTTATTCTGCTTATTGACGTCACCATCTGGGGCAAATGTTTCCAGATTAATAAACACGGCTGCGTATTTTGGTTTCGGGCTACAGGCGGTTAGCATCCAATCCGTTTTGGATGTGTGCAAATGGGACAGTTTCTGCAACATAATACAAAGTAATAAAACATCCTGGTTGTATACAATGTCTTTTTTTATTTAAGTTTGACTTTTTAATTTTCTAATTGATTATTTTTTATTCTAAATTTAATTAAATAATACCTACTTACGATTTTTTATTAAAATAAATAAAATAAAAATAAAATAATTTTTTATTCAATATAGATTAGAAGTAATTCTTATTGAAAGTCAATATTTTACTTTACCACTGGTTCAAAAAAAAACCTCTGTCCTGGAGAGAACCAGTAAGAAACCCAGCGGGACTTTTTTTAAATAAATGTGTCAAGGGTCACAGAATATTTAGAAAATTAATTTTAGAAACAGCTTGGAAGCGACCATCTCATTCCCAGGGGTTATTATCAACCATGTATTCATTTATATCATAATAACCCTTTTTATACAGTTTTTGTTTAATTAAATATTTAAACTTGGTAACATAGAGACCTTGTATATTTTCTGGGACTTTGTTGTAATAGCGTATACATTGCCATTGTTTCTCGACTCCACAGAGTCAGAATGAATTACTGACTGTGGAGTCGAGAAACTGGTAGAGAAACGAGTAACTAAGAGTTTATAACTACATCCAAGGGAATAGATGAATCTATTAAAATTATTAAAGTTGAAAATTAAGTTACTGATATCTACTCATCTTATACAAAAACATGATTCATTTTCATAATAATAAATTTATGGATAAATAAACGACAATGACAGGCTAAAAACTATATATATATTTTAAAGGTTACCTGCAGATCAATGTTTAAACAAGCTTCTGCCACGGTTTGATTTGCGCACTTCAGTCGGTTATTGTAAGCGATACGGTTCGCCAAATCAGCCAGGGCTTGATTCATACGGTACTGCAGCCTTAGCGTGGTAGTCGCTTCTTCACTCATCAGCCTATGGAATAAGCTTTCTTCCATACCCAAGTGTCTGGAATATTAATATAATATTCTCAATTTATGTGTTATTTAATAAAACTATTATTTACGGATTTTATCGCGTTTAATTACTACTTTAACTTTGCAGTGGCTAAGAATGCTGTTTCGGTGTTGCGGGCCGCAGACTTAATGCCCGCGCCGAAAAACGAATTTTTTTACAGCCAGGGTGGTCTGAAAATTTTCTGACCTAAACGTGAAGATGTCAGTACTCGTCAATAAAAGCTAGTGAATGTAGTTGTGCATGTTTTAACAGTTAAGCACAAACATTTCAGAAATTTTGGACGCGTAGTTGTTATTTGACAGTCGTTTGAGTTGATGTGTTTTTGTAAAAATGGAAAAATTGAGTATCGAGCTTTTTTTATAGAACAAGGGTGACAAACGAGCACACAGTCCACCTGATGGTAAGTGGTTGCTGTGGCGTATAGACATCTACATTTATCCTCAATTAAGAATCAAAATTTAGATGCGTTGTCACTCCTGAGGACCAAGATGGAATGCCTCGTTTCCAGTAAAATAGGGTCTCCGGATCTCCATACGAAACACAGCAGCATTAAGCTGCTATTTTACGCTGATATTCTGTGAGATCGTGGTCCTGCCTGGTCGAGCCGACCCATTCGTGCTACAACCATAATATAGCTGCAGCGAGGCTCTACCACGTATGTAATTAAATTTTTGTGTTTGAACTGCAATACGCCTACGCAAGTCAAAGATAAGTTGGACTCTGTGTATGGCGACGTTGCACTATAATTTATCACAGAGAAAATTTGGACAGCTGAATTTAAATGTGGCCGTGAGAGCTTGGAAGACGATGAAAGTTCGGGACATCCAAAAACTGCAACTACTGACGATAACATCGCTAAAGTTCACCAAATGGTGCTGAACGACCACAGAATTAAAATGAGAGAGATAGAAGAGGCTATGAATATGTCCAAAGTACGTGTTTGTCACATATTAAATGAAGAATTAGGAATGGGAAAGCTATCAGCACGTTGGGTGTCGCGTTTGTTCACAATAGACCAAAAACGTGTTCGAATGAACATTTTCAATGCTCTATTGACGCAGTTTAGGCGCAATAAATCCGAGGTTTGGCGCCGATTAATTACTGCAAATGAAACTTGGATACACCATTATACGCCCAAAACAAAAATACAGTCAATAGAGAAGACTGTAAAGCGGGAACCGGCTCCAAAAAACCAAAATCTGTTTTTTCGGCTGGGAAAGTGATGACGTCTGTTTTTTGAGACATTCATGGAGTTATCTTAATTGATTATTAAAAAAAAAGAGAGAAACCATTACAGGAGCATACTACGCATCATTACTTGACAAACTGAAGGCAGAAATTGTGGAAAAACTGCCACATTTGCAGAAAAAGAAAATTCTTTTTCACCAAGACAACACGCCGTCTCATATCTCAGCGGTTGAAATGGCGAAAATCCACGAATTACGGTTTACTGCTTGACCATCCGCCTTACTCACCAGATCTAACTCCAAGCGACTTTTTTTTGTTCTCTCATCTAAAAATTGCGCTCGGAGGACAGAGATTTTCGTCAAATGAAGAGGCAATCACCTTCGTGAAGCATTATTTTGCAGAGAGAAACGCTGAGTACTATTTGGACGGGTTAGAGAGATGGGAGCATCGCTGGGAGAAGTGTATAAAGTTACAAGGAGACTATGTAGAAAAATTAAAAAATGTCTTGAATGTTTGTTAGGTCGGAAAATTTGCAGACCTACGTATAGCGTCCATACGTTAAACGTGGCGGCAATAGCAAATATGGGGAGACCTATATTCGGTAATGACTTTTCAAATTAAAATGGTTTATAGCCTAAGATCAATGTGAGTAATCTTACGTCTGTAAGATTAACATTTACTTCCTCTTGTTAGCCCATCGTTGATTGCAGTTTACATTTTCGCATTAGAAGAAAACAATGTAAGAATACTGAAAGCTTGAGAATTTTTTTCCCTTCTTTTGTATGGTCTAAAAAGCGTTCTTATGGTAGTGACGCTGTAGTTGTATTATGGTTCAAAAAAGAATAAGCAATTACATATAAAATAAAAAACCACTTGTAACTATTTGATGATTATTGCAAATATATTCAGTATCTACTCAGCTCTTGGCTTTCATTTCTCTCTCGTGCCACAACATTACAACAGTACGAAAGGGTCGGCTCGACTGGAGATCGACCACGCTCTTGTAGAATATCAGCGTGAAAGTGTAGCATAATGCTGCTGTGATTCGCATGCTGAATGACGAGAATCGAAGGCCCTTTTCATTAGTAACAATAAGACTATGGAGTGTAGAAGTAAGGAGTACCAACTCCCATAGGAGAATAGTTGAAAAAGTGTCCATCTGTAAGCAGTAAATAATAGTTCAAAAACTCTCCACTACAGCGCTCGAGTAGCTACGGAGTATATTAAATCGCCGTAAAATACAAGATTTTAAAAATAAAAATTTTGAAAGCAATAAAATAATTATTGTAAAAAAAATTATGGTGAAAGTCTGTGCAATAAAAAAATTATAAAAAGTTCTTTAAAATTTAGACTGTAGCTACAGTGGCGCCACCCTTATTTAACGCTTTCCTACGGACACTTTTTTATACAGAGTCTGTAGTTTAGTACTAAAGGGACCGGGTGGCTCCACACCACATATCATCCCGTGGGTGTCGTAAGAGGCGACGGGCAGCAGCGTCTTCCTATTAATAAATAAATAAAAGCTGCGTTTGCCAACCCGCTTGTCCAAAATTATGTTGTGCCAACTACGGCAAATATCCCCACTATGATGTGCCTGTATTCAGCGGTGGACTTTGGTAGGCTGTAATTTTAACGGTAACGTTAACTGGAGGGTACAGTGCATTTACATCTCGATTCTACATCAATTATTCATAATTCTAGGTCAATAAAATACAAAATAGGTTTTAATGAAAAATTTAGCGAGTATCTAAAAATGTTTTTTTTTTTTAATATAAGGGTGACAAACGAGCACACAGTCCACCTGATGGTAAGTGGATGCTGTGGCCTATCTATAGACATCTACGTTTAACATCGATTAAAAATCAAAATGCAGATGCATTGTCACCCCTGAGGACTAAGACGGAATGCCTCGATTCCAATAAAACGGGTCTCCCGATCTCTATACTCACCATACGAAACGCAAGCTATTATAGCTGCTGTTTTACGCAGATATTCTGTGAGAGCGTGGTCCTTTTCCGGTCGAGCCGACCCATTCGTATTACAATCATAATATAGCTGCAGCGTGGCTCTACCATGTGTTATCTAAATATGTGACAACAATGACCGCATCTTTTAAAAGCTTGATATATCTATTCCTCAAAGGGACCGTACACCTTAGTATTAGTTATTTGATTTTTATTTCAACTCTTGATACCTCTCCCAATTCTTGAAAAAGGAGCCCTTGACAGACAGACAAATGGATGGACAACAAAGTAATCATTTAGGAGTTCCACTTTTTCCTTTTGAGGTGAGGAAGCCTAGAAAAGTATTCGATTGTTGATTCATTTGAAAAAATGTTGGACGCGGGGACCGCAAGAAACTGCGAAACGATACCATAACTTACATTCTGTTAATGAGGGCTAATAATCTTCCGCTCACCAGATATCGCTAGGTAACACTGAGGTGAAGTTTTTTGTTACACATTTATTTCATTGAGAAGTTCGTTTTATATAAATGTTTATCAATGGGTGCGTTTGGCAGAAAAAAGCGCTAGCAAGCGCTTGTAAGCAAAAGTTTTAACCGGGGAACCTAACCTAATTTAAACATATGTTTGTAAAGTATTCATATTAAAAACTTACCAATCATGAATTTTTAATAACATGTATATGTCTATTCATGTCATTATATTACTTAAAACTAATATTGCACAAAACAACTTATAAACTCTACTTCAAAACAAACAAATTAAATAAGCAAAATGGCGGATTGTATCAGCGCTACTGAAGTTAGCAAGCGTGTCCTGGCCGAAAACTGTTTAGTTTCGCCATTTTGTTTACAAGCGCTTGCAAGCGCTTTTTTCTGCCAAATGCATCCAATGTCTAGTGTCACAATAATACACAAAAAATGCCTCAGTAGTGTGCTCTTTAATTTTTGCTCATTTATAACTCTTTTATAAATGAGCAAAAATTATTAGAAATTTTTCAACTTTGATGAATACCAGTAGTTTGATTTATTTATATTTAATCCAATTTTAAATGGCGATACCCTAGTGGCAGAAAAAGTCGCGGATGCCCTCATTAAATCAAAGGCGGTTAAGGTCAATAATAATTAAACATCAATACCTCGCAGCATTCCTTCTTACTACAGGTGGCAGTTGCTCAGGATCACCGACTAGAATGAACCGTTTCGCTGCAAACAGCGGCCGTAGGACCGTGCATTGCAACACCTACAAGTAAAAAAATGTACAAAATACTTCGCTTTAAGTTCCACAGCTATTCATGCTGCTCTAAGTTCAATAAGTTAAGTAAAACCCGTTTTTACATTGTTCAACGGAAAAATATTGTCCTCTGCATGTTTAAGAAGAAATTTATTATTATTTCATAAGCAATAAATTTGCTTTGTAGTATGTTTATTTATTTAAAAAGGTACACCAACAGTACATATATACATATTATAAAAGTTACATTTTTAAAGCACAATTCCTTATACATATACCTATTATAGGCGTACACAACATTGGCAGAAGATATTAAATAACAACACAATATATATCTGAAAAATATAAAATAATAAAATTCACCAAAGCAAAACTAAAAACTTAACTGAAAACAAATGCCTCTTCACAAAAGGGCGGCTAATTTTCGTTTAAATTTAAACGAATCGTAGAAAATGTCTAATGTTTCAATATTCATCTCGTTGTACTGTGCGCAACATCTGGCGAGAGGAGAATGGCGTCCAAGGTTAGTCCTTATAGAAAAGGCAAGGCAAAAGTTTTTTTTGATAGGATGTCGGGGTATGCGAGCTGGCACCGTCAATTTAACTCGGACCAAAGCATTATATAATATTTTATGGGTGCAATTTAAACGGAAACCCGCAGTACTTCGCCTAAGAAAACAAGTGTTACACCTAAGTCTCTTATTTCTTCTACTTCAGTTAATGTTGAGCCGTTAATTTCATAAGTGGATGGGAAATGACTTTTTCTTTTTTGTAAATTTGTTATGGTAGAATTTATCGACGTTTAGGGCCATAACGTTCGATTCACACCATGTGTTTAAGTCCTCCTGGATAAGTTTCATGTCATGGGAAGAATTGACTGCCCTGTAAATTTTTAAATCATTCGCAAATAGGCAGAATTTGCAATTTTTATGTGCATCGCTATATCGTCGATAAATATAAGAAATAGTATTGGGCCTAAGTGAGAGCCCTGTGGGACTCCTGACGATACAAAATATACATCTGATACATAACCCCCAACAGCAACAAGCTAGGATCTCATACTGAGGTAAGACCTAAACCAGTAAAGCAGACTACCATGTATTCCTTTCATTCGCAATTTCATTAAAAGTAGTGTGTGATTTATTTTGTCAGAAGCACTGGTAAAATCTGTGTATACAGCATCAATTTGACTTTCACTATCCAGCCCCAGTGCAATTTCAGAAATAAATGAACATTCCATTCACACACACAGGAACAAACCTTCTCTGAGCGAACAATTAAAGATTATAGCTAATGGTTGAGACAAAAGAGATCCACAGGTCTTTATAAATAGAAGAGGTATTTTATCAGGACCACCTCCTTTCTGTATGTCTAATCGTTTAATTGCTCTTAAGGTATCATATTCAGAAAATTTAATATTCGATAAAGTAAGTGGCGATAAATTCTCAAAGTTGTGATTTGTTTTTTCAAAATTTGAAGTGAATGTGGAAGCATAATGTTTGGCGAAAAGAGTGGCCATGACAGAACCAGATTCTGCAACGGAATCGTTTAATTGCATTTTTAAGGGGAGATTTGACTGGCTGCTATGTTTGTCTTTAATGTATTGCCAAAAAGATTTGACGTTACGCGATATTCCACTCTCAATATTTGTCTTATAGTCACTATAGCACTAGTCAATAAACTTGTGACAGCGGCTCCGTAAGAGGTCATGTTCTAATTTGTCACTTGGATTACCATATTTCCGATATCTGTTGCGTAGCTTATTTTTTCGGATAGAAGTTTAATGAGGGTGCGGCTAAACCATTTGGGGTAATACTCTTGGAAGAACGGTGCTTGGGGACAGACCTATCAATAATTAACCTTAGTTCATCATAGAATTTTGTAAGCATTTCATTGACGTTGTTACAACTCGAAAACCTCTCCACCTAATCAATACACTTCAGATCCGAGGCAATTTTCTCGTAATTGCCTTATATAAATTGTGGACAGTTCGTTTCTTAGGCTGAAGATAAGCAAAATTATAGTTCGGCCGTTCAGATAATGCGTTCCTGACACGTCGCGATTGAACTGACGACGTAACTTTGTAATGGCGTTGCAGTTACGATAAAAATATTTTTGCTGGTTGTTTACCGTTTTAACAATTGATGAGCATTAAAACAACATTATTATATCAATAATCAATGAATGTTGTAATTTTGTGCCAAACTGAGTGTCAAACAACTTGGTAAACAATATTTTTCTAAATCTATACTGCGCTATTACAAGGTTATGTCAGCGCTTTATATTTGTATTGCTGTGCTAACAATAACAGGCAATAACAGTATCGTAATCTGTTCTTATACAGTTATACTTTATAAAATAATACGTTGTTTTTCTTTTTAAGAATTTGAAAATAATGGGCTATAAGATAACTTTAATTAAATATAAAAATAAAACTAGGACCAAAACGAACGCGCGAAAGAATTTTTATATTTGGGTTGAAAATGGTAACCCCAAATGGCGTTATGGGCCGCCATTTTGTGACAGTAAAAGAGTCGTCTGTTGTCGTTTCGTGCGCATAGACCACGTTATTCAAGTGTTTTCGATCTGTTTTTATTTGATTACCCGGCTTTCGTTTAATGGACTGTTTCTGCTTTTCAAACTGACATCGGCGCTAAATCGGACTTCGATTGTGTTTTGTATTGCGTTCTTTTTACTTTTGGTGCATAATAATGCCTAAACGTGGACAAACATTGAAAAGTGGAGCCCGTGAGTTAATCATCAAGCTGCAAGATTACTTTGAGCGGGAGCGGCAAAATGGCGGACCCCTGTTACCTGTCTAACAACTACAAGAACGCGTCTCTCAGGCGCTTGGAGTTAGCAAACGAACGATAACAAATATTAATAAAGAAAAGTTCGGCTCTACTGGCACGTAAGATAATATTTTACGTACTCCGAAGAAGAAACGTAGAACTAAACCCGTGACAGATATTGACACCTTTGACGCCGATGCAATCAGAAATCATATATATGGTTACTATTCTAGAAATGAATATCTCAACAGGAAGAAGCTTTTGGCATCGTTAAGAGAAGCTGGACTGTTTAGCGCGGGTAAAACTGCTTTAACCAAAATCTTAAAAGATATTGGCTTTTCGTATAAAAAACAGACAAAAGAAAAATTTTATTAGAACGATACGACATAATTTTAAAACGAATAAGTTTTTTGAGAGAAGCAAAAAAATATTGATAACTGGGATAATGTCGTGTTCTATTGATGAGACATGGCTAAACGCCACGGTTTCCCGTTCTTGGACGGATGATACACAAGTGTCGACGTCGAAAGTACCAATGGGTAAGGCGGCCCGTCTGATAATATGCCACGCAGGTTCTGCAAAATACGGCTTTGTGGAGAACGCGTTACTGGCATTTCGATCAAAAACCACAAATGACCACCACGAGGAAATGAATGCCACTACATTTAAAGAGTGGTTCCAGAACGTGCTTTTGCCCAGCCAACCAGAGCCTTCTGTAATATTCATGGATAATGCCTCCAATCACTCGGTTCAAATACAGAAACCACCTACCCAAGCTAATAAAAAAGAAGAAATGGTGGCTTGGTTACAAGCAAAAGGCATTGACGCAAATATGCAGATGCTAAAACCAGAGCTAATTAAATTAGTTAAAGAAAATAAAGCGGCAAATGTGCAATACGAAATCGATGAACTAGCTCTGGAGTATGGTCATCGCGTTCTAAGAATTCCACCGTATCATTGCCAATATAACGCGATTGAGCTGATCTGGGCTCATATAAAAGGTTATGCCGCCCGCCACAATACTTCCCCGCCATTCAGCACAAAAAAGATGACGACTCTATTAAAAGAAGCCTGCGGGGAAGACACAAGAGATGACTGGGCAAAGATTGTTGAGAAGACTAAAAACCTGATTGTGGAACATTTTGACCGAGATATCAGGATTGATTCTGTTATTGATAATAATATAATTATACATGTAGGCGAAGATGATGATGAAGACACCACCTCCTCAAGCGAATCGGAGTCTGATTAATATTCTGTACGCACATTCAATTCAATGTACTTTATTGCATAGAAATACAGATTGTAACTTTGTAACAAAGAATAAATAAAACAATTTTATTATATTAATATTACCTTTTTTTGGTTTCCACTTAAATTACTAAAATATAAATTTTAAATGATTCCACCAATTTAAAACGAAAATAATGTTAAAAATAACGCGGCGGTTCATTTTGGAGGAACGGTAACGAACTTAGTGTTGTGTTGTGCCCATCACTAGTCGTGACTAACTGATAGGTGTCAGGAACGCATTCTCTGAACTGCCGAACTATAGTTTTTTGTAACGTTACCAAAAGATTAGGATGTTTACAGTTCAGCCTACTCAATAGTTCTAGAGGTTACGACACATCAACACCGAGAAAGTTGCTCATAATGAGATATAAGTATCTACCGTCACTGTTTGGTATGTTGTTAAATTGACTAAAGTTATTAAGAGAATTGAAAGTTATGAAATCAACAAGACCGCATCCGAGAGTACTATTATAATTAGATCGAACCATTTCAGCAATATGATCATGATCTCTACTTCAGTTAACAAATCCTAGATTAAAATCGCCCTTAATTAGGACGTTATTGGGTTGGTTCATAAAGGTATCAACTTTGTCAAGGAAATACGTCAAAGTATGTTTGTATTAGATGGAACCTTTGTGGCCAAAAAGTATAAATTACCTTTATATTTTATTTTTTTAAAGGCTCTGATACAAAATAAATGATTAAAGTATACATGCACATAGAGTCTATTTATTTATTCGCTAATGTAAATTAATGCCTGTCAACCGTTTTACTGCACCTCTACCATTTAATAACTAATAAGTAATTGTGACACAAATGCTACTTAGATTTTCCAGCACTATCAAATTTCACTTCTCTTTTTTCCAGACTCAATCTCATCGTCACCTTTGTCAGCCTGTAAATATTCCACTGCTAAATATAGGAAGGAATCCACCAGAGTCGAATATTCACCGTAATCACTTTACTTAGCAGGCGAATGGGGTAATCACAGTTTCAAATTCTTGAATCAAACAACAATGTCATACAGCTATTAGATACAGATGGCTTACAGTGATTTGTATAGGACTTAAAAGGGGCTGCAATGATAGTGAAGATAGATCTTCTTGATCCTAAGTCTCTTACAAAACCCACTGGACATGAAGAGATTGATTCTCTGACAGTCGTGTTGTAAGAGAATCCATCTCCTACTACTACTACAAATAGCTTATAAATCTCAAAAAAAAAAATAGAATAGTGTGTACATTGCATTAGGCATTTATTAGTTTTTCGTTTCATTTACAAGAGTAGTGTTTTTATTTTTTTAAATAAAGCTAACAAGAAATAGTACAGACAAATCAAATATCACAGATGAACTACTTTTTAAACAACACGAATGTAATAATTATATTATAACTAGCGATAGGCCCCGGTTTTACTCGGATTTCTGGATCTTAACAACAGCGCCACCTACCGGGCCACACAAACACACACAAAAAAAATCATCAAATTCAGTCGAGTCGTTTTTGAGTTTTAGCGCAACAAACGGACAGTAATTGATTTTTATATATAGAGATGTAAATTTAGCCCTCGAAGGAAATGTGGATATCTCCCGCCGGGCAGGATGTTCAGCCCGGGGAGCGACAAGCGCTCCATGTATGCAGTCACCATGTATGCTCCAGCTCCAGGTGTGCAGTCATTAGCAAACTTCGATAGCATGATTTAGACTATGGTTGTACGGTACAAATGTATCATTTCAGTGCATTTACACCGCCATAACAATGTAAATTACCTGCGTCGCTTCATCCACAATGCACACGTCAAAGGAAGTGCGAGCGAGCATAGCGTGCGCTGCTCCCAAACACGTCACACCTACAACCTCCTACAAAATAAGAAACAACCTTGGTAAGAAATGACGAATTATATTATTAAAAAAAGAAGTGATACTATTTTTGCGACAAATGTTTTATTCTTCAAAATCCTTTTTATAAAAGTATGATCTTTCGAACCCTATTAAAGATGTTGATTTTTTTGCCACAAATTTATACATAAATGAAGGGAATTTATACATAAATTTTAAGTATATTTAAATATTTTTAATAACAATTCCATTTTTTTAAATTATTGATAAAAATTTGTTAAAATAAAAAAACGACTTGTGATTAGTTGTGACGTCAATGTTGCCAATCACAATCATGCTATACTTTTGTATTTTCTATATTCGGATCACCATGATTCATAACAAAACATAATATACAATTTTTAATTTTGGAAACCTAAACATGAGTATTTTACCATTTCACCCCGCGGTGGCTTTAGTAAAACGTTGTAATGACGTCACTGACGTTTGAATTTATTATAGTTTTGAATTTTATATATTTGAATTATTTTATTTTCGAATTTTTCTTGAAATCCTCCTGGATTGATCTTAAATTTTTTTAGTAAACTTTCAAAAAAAGAAAAAGCCAGATTGAACTATTTTACAAAAAAAATTTAAGTACCTAAAGACGCCTGTGGGTGAAAAATTCGTATTCCTAAGTAACTCAATCTTTATTCTTTGTGCTAAGTTCCGAAGAAAAACGAGAGTTAATTCATCGAAGCTTAATTTTCTGCCTATTACTGCACAAGCCTGATCATAGAATACTATAATACACAATAGAATGGCTGTCAACCTTATTTTGTACCGAGGTTCGGCGTCGCCGGGAGCACACATACAAGCAATTACTTCGTATTATCAGTTAAGCACTACTACAAACCCGATTCGCTGTGTTGACAAACGGATTTTAATACATATTTATTTGTAAATAGCGTGCAATTTGGCATTTTCTAAATAATTTGCATGCGAAATTTGGAAACTATTGTAACGTCAAAACACATCTCGTTTTGACATTTATACGTGTGAATTGACATGTTAGTGACATTTTAGTGGCTACACGGGCTCCGCCAACTCCCCCGTTCTATTATGTATGTATACTATGAGCCTGATTAATTAAAGAAAGAACATAGGTATAGACAAACAAGAAATTAAGAAAGGATAGTGGACAGTTATTGCAAATAGTAACAATTATTAGTATGCCATATAGTTTTGTTTCGTGCAGAATTCATCCCGCAGCCCTACAGCACTATTACAATTTATACTTAATCGCTTAGCCACTGCGCTACTGAGAGGTCAAAAACCATTTGAAAAATCAATCACGAACAATCTTTGATGTATAACTACGGTTAGCCATAAAAACACGGAATATCAAAAACAAGAGAAAGCGCAAAGTTGGCGGGACACGCATGCTACAAACTGCCTCATTGACAGTTAGTTGCAAGTTCATGTCACAAGCTGACGTGTCGCTACTTAATAATATATTTATTGCGTAAATATGCCAATTATGTAATATATAATATAATATGGAACGCAAAAATGAATATACATAAAAAATACAGCATACTATAATAACAATTAATCATCGTAACATCGTGTTCTTGTATTATTATCATGTTGTTGTTCAAGCAGGTGAAGTACGGTAAAGTCAACTTACGAAATTATTATTGGGAAATCAGTCGCATCGTGAGTTTGGTGACACTGGTTCTAGTACAAATTTTGCACTTCAAAACACCTCTCGTTTTTAATATTTCATGCATAACAATAAGTCTTTTATTAAATCTACTTTTTATCTAATTATAGTAGATAATAAAATAACTTAGCATATGTATTAATACCATAGAGTCATAAAGCCGCGACAGTTGTTCTGAAGTTTCGCAGGCGGACGTCAATTTTTCTTCGCAGCGATGCAACAACTTGGAGGCGACACGAGCAGAAGAGCCTAGGCGCATTATTTGTATTGATTCTGGAAGCCTGCAAACATATTTTAAATAAGAAAAAAATAAACAAGTTTTATTGTGGTAGGACAACATTGCTACATAAAAGTTCATCTAGATTGGTACCGGCGTCTATATTTGCCGCCAAACAGCAGTGTCCCCACTGCTGTGTTCCAATCTGGAGTGTATGATGGAGAGCCATATACAGTATAGACTGTTCTGTATTTCATCTAAGTTCTACAAGACTATAGCATAAGTCTATATATAAATCTATAAGACTACAGCAGACATTTATGATCAGGTTTATTGTTAGCTTGCTGCGCCGTGCCGTAGTAGCTCAGATGGTTAGTTCTCTTTAATTAATTAATTTAACACAATTTTCTCTTTAATTAATTTAACAGTACGTTCGTTCCCCGCCGGCACCGATGAAATTGCTAATTGCAATTTTAAGTGCTGATTTACCACGTGCTTGGCGATGAAGGAAAACAAAGTGAGGAAATCTGCATGTCGAGAAATAAGAAAAAAAAATTGGGGCGGATACTTCCTTGCCTTAAAACCCTCTCTAAAATAAGCCTGAGGAGGCCTGTGCATAGCAGTGTGACGTTTAAATAGGCGTAACTTTTATTGTTAGTTCGTTTATCATTCACACTCAATGCCTAATTTATATTTAGATTTGTTTCAGAAATATACTGTGATTTAAGCTCACCCTTCATTTACCTTCTCAACGGAAGGTCTTTTTGATGTGGTACTAGTGATGGTAGTCAATGAAAATTTTTGTCCCCGACTTACATAATTAACCACTAAAATGTATGTACTACTTTCGAAGCCCAGGCGAAGACGCTAATACTGATGTCCTACAGACCCAATTCCGGTCATGGGGACCAGTATCAACGATATAGGGCACAAGCGTGTGTAAGCACAGGTGGGACGGCAGAGGATTAAGGATACGGATTTACGAGCTTTCCGAGGCACGGGGGTGAAACACTGCCAACTTCCTGACTTCGGGCTACTATTGCTCTGAGAATTTCTTGACAAAAAAACCGATAACAGATTTTGGTCTGACGCGGGATTCGTACCCATAACCATACGATCAGCAGTTGCGTTCATGGCTACAAGACCAAAGTGGTATTCAAGCGAGACTATACACTATACTATAAACGATAATATGTGATTAAGGCGTCAGAGATACCGTGACACCTTCCCTAAATGATCCAGTATCTAATATAATTTGTATTAAGAAACAAACTGTAAAACTTTTTTTGGTAGACCTGCATGTAAAATTGCTAATTTTTTTTACTTGTTCAGTTTGTAAAAGTCTCCATCTGGGTAGGGGCGTTTTATATCAAATCTCCATAGGTGATCGTAGTGCCAGACGTCTTTAATGCTTCCCGACGCCTGTGTGGGTATATTACACTTGGAATATACGAGATGATTATTTGGCCGTCCGTCCGTGGCCATAAGACATTTTCAGCCATTTTCCAGCAGTTTTTAACGATAGCCACGGCACCATGACACCATTAAACAAGAACAAAACAATCATAAAATAAATCAACCAATGGATCTTCATATTGTTACGACAGCCAATTGCGTTTGGAATCACGCTGGAGGAGAATTGCTCCCGACGACAAGGGTCAGTGGATCTCTGTCAAGTAATAAAATGTAAAAAAAAAGTAAAGTGAAGTAAAGTTACAGCCTATATATGTCCCACTGCTGAGCACAGGCCTCCCCTCAGTTCTGAGAGGGTTTTAGGGTAAGGAAGTGTCCGCCGCGCTGCTCCAATGCGTGTTGGCGAACTTCACACGTCTTCGAAATATTTTTTCTTATTCCTCAGACATGCAGGTTTCCTGACGATGTTTTCCTTCACCGCCGAGCACGTGGTAAATCAGCACTTAAAATTGCAATTAACAATTTCATTGGTGCCGGCGGGGATCGAACCCAGGTTACTCGCGTTCTGTTATATTTACAGCGAGCGTTAACCATCTGAGCTATCACGGCTCTAATAAAATGTGTAGGTATAAAAATAGATAACGCTCAAATTATTGACGCAAGGAAGACGCAACCTTATATCTACGTATATGAAGCCTTTTCTTCTTTGAGTATTGTTATCGTTATGTAATCGCGAGTGTTCTAGTACTTTCTGGCTGAAAGAATGGAATGATCTGGATTGATCTAGAAAGTTCTATATGCCGCTTATCGAGTACAAAAGCGTTTGCCGGCGATCGGTGAATTAATTATTTCGGGAACGCGAAAGTAAATTCTACTACGGGAAGCGACTACGAGCATTCGATCTACGACGTTTGCCATTATTAAAGACCTCGCCGAAGAAGTTTAGCTATTTAGGACGACGTGCGATGTGAGTCGCTATGTGTGTGGAAAAATAAATCCATTTCTTATTCTAATCAGCATTTTAACTCACCCCGCACGTAACAATATTTTAATTTTAAAAGTAACAAAGGCCCATTGATTTTTAGATACTTCAGATTTCTTACACTACAACTTTACTACTTAAAAAGTAAAGTAACAGCCTACATATGTCGCACCATTGGGCACATTCACTTTTCATTTCTTGACGAAGTGAAGGAAGAGTGCTTGCGCTGCATCATTGCGTGTTGGCGGACTAACATGTCAACTTTCTAAGATATGCAAGTTACCTCACGATGTTTACTTTTACTATCGAGCAGTAAATAGCATATGAAATTGTAAATAATAATTTTGCCGGTGACGGCGGGGATCGAACTCAGTGTGCTCGCGTACTATAGAACTATTACGGCTCATTCTCCCACTTAAGAAACTGATAAAATGTATATACCTGCATAAAACCGTGTCGACAGCGGAGTGCGTGTGAGCCGTGACGAGCACGCGCAGTTTCAAAGCGACGAGCATTTGTATGAGGACGCTTATTGTCTGAGTCTTACCTGCAACAAGATGTTAGTTTGAAATATTACAATAACATATGTTTTAACTATAACTACATAGAAAATTGAGCCTTATGGTGAAACTTTTAAGGTAAGTTTTACCAATAGGCTCAACTTGCAGGGTGCAGTGTTAAAGTATCTAATACCCGACTGTATTAGACTATTTTAGATATTTGTAAGTCGACAGAGGCAAACAAACCAGGGCAGCAGCTACTTCCTAATAACAATTGGAAAATAAAAAACCGCCTGCCAAGCGTGGCAAATGTGGCAACTATCCCCGTTATAAGGCAAATTTGGGGAGGTCTTTGTTCAGCAGTTAACTTTGATAAGATAAAATGATGACGATGAAAAACTACCACAGTATCTAATACACTACCTGCAGCATTAAAACAACTCCTATTGGGAGGCAAAAAAAAACAAGGACACCTGCACCATACCACAAATGTAGGAGATCAAAAAATAACCTGTACCTACGGGTTTCTGTTTTGGCCAGAATTCTGTATAGCTCGGTACATTCAGCTACCTATTTCTGGTGCCAAGCAACCATGCATTCACACCACTGCGTTCGTATTTGAAGGGTAAAAGAGCCAGATTATTTTGATCGTAAGGTATTTCATCTTCACAATTTGCGGTGGGCACTTACCAACAGGTGGACTATGGCCTTACGATTATAATATCATTACTTCTACTTACTCTACTTCTGTTTTACATAATATAAAATGAAACTTTACCAGTGCCTGGGAGGCCTTGTAGCAAAGCATAGTCCTCAGCTGCGAGGGCCTTTAAGACAGCTCTCTGCTGCTCTATGTTCAATGAGCGCATTAATTTTGCACCAAGGCGACCCACCTCGCGAGGCAGCTTTACAAATGTTGGTGTTTTCTTGTCTATTATTAATCTGAAAATTATAAATGATAATAAATAATTTTTGTTACTAGGCTGTTAAAATATTTTTGTGCAATTGATTGTGATGCATATGAAATAAAGGGCATATTTTGAGCAACACAACACAGCTATAATGAAATAAAACTTGTATTTTGTACTTAAAAAATGCTAAAAGGCTAAATGAATCATAAAATATTATTATATATTAATAAATTTATATGTCACCAATATCGAACATTTATTAATACTACTCGACCCGGCTTCATCCATCCCATCTATTTTACAAATTTTTAGACTTTTCTAAAAAAAAATCTTTAGTTTTTCGGATAAAATATAGCCTAGATCCTGGCATTGTTCTCTATCTGCTCGTAAAGTTTCATCACTATTCGTTCAACCATTCTAAAGATTAACTCGGACAGATAGACAATTTTTTTGTGTTAGTAACATGCAACTTGCCACCAAAGCTTAATAGAATCCAGTTATTTATTACAGACAAATGCTTCCATTTCATTTTAATATATAGAGTATAAATGTATAAATTAGAAGTTATTTTAACACACTTAAATAACAAAAAATGGAAAATCATTAAATCTTTGGAGCCTCTATGAATAAAAGATAAATATTCGTAAAAGATAAATTGAGCATAATTTTAGATCCAATGATATTTGTCAATATTAATTACCAAGCGGTTTTATTATAATCCAGTGAAATATGTAGTTAGTTATTGCTTATAAAGAGTACCTTCTTAACCTCTGCGCTCTGTCGCTATCTTCCATAAGGACTCCTAAATTGGTTAAGTTCTGTACTGTGGTAGCATAAGACTCGTACGTGTCAATATGAAATACTGTATCTTTACTCTGCCGACTGCTTAAGTCTCTGAAAGAAAAAAATATATATTTGTAACATATTTATTTCTTTAGAAAAAAATACTATACAAGTTATTAATATTAAAAAAAAGTTTCTTCGAATAATATAATAAATATTTATGGTTGTAGCACGAACGGGTCGGCTCGGCTGGGGAACGACCAGGCTCTCACAGAATACCTGCATAACATAGCAGCTCAATACTGAATTGTCTATTATACTGAAAACGAAACTTACTCCTCAGGGATGGCAACGCATCTTTATTTTAATAATTAATCGAGGATAGATGTATGTCTAAAGGCCACAGAATCCACCCATTACGTGGACTGTGTGCTCGTTTGTCACCCGTAAATATTTAATAAAATAATCATATCAATTTGTCATAATTAGAAATATAACTAACACATTTTGCTCTGATGGTCTTATAATCACGTAAATACATTACCAATCAGTCTATATACTTCAACATAGGACATAGTCGACTCTCTTAAGCTACGCATTAATCATGATCACCATACCTGGCAGGCAATAATAGTTCATGGCTGTCGTTCATGAGTGTTGCTGGCCTCGTAGACAGAGAAACCTATAGACAAATTGACGCCTTCTTTCGCATTCGCACACGAAAAAGATAGATTTATGCATACGTCTTGCACAGAAATGAGATAGAGCGGTATGATTGTTTGTCCCTTTCTACGTGCCGGTTTTTTTGTTTAGCAAACTCTACAGTTTGCTAAACAACTTTGACAGCGTAGCGATTTAAGGAGTTTACAAGTTGGTTTAAGTGAGAAAAAAAGTGTTTTGTGAGCTTAAGATTGGTGAATCTTGTTCAGTTCAGTTCTTAGAACAATTAAAATTTTTATCTAAATGTGTTTAAAAGTGATAAAGATTATTGTATAACCTAAAAAGTCGTTACCGTTCTTTCTCACTCGAGGCCACGCCGATCATTAGTCTATAGGTTTCTCTGTCTACGGCTGGCCTGGACATTTTTTTAGAATAAGGGTGACAAACGAGAACACAGTCCACCTGATGGTAAGTAGATACTGTGGCCCATAGATATCTACATTTAACCTTGATTAAGAATCACAATGCAGATGCGTTGTCACCCCTGAGGACTAAGAGGGAATGCCTCGTTTCCAATAAAAAAGTGTCTCCGGATCTCTACACTCACCATACGAAATACCAACGTAAAATATATGTAAGCTATATTAATATTATTTATATGAGGGAGTTTTGTGTTTAGTATAATGGAAAATTCAGCATTGAGCTTCTCTTTTCCACGCTGGTATTCTGTGAGAGCGTGGTCCTTCCTCGGTCGAGCCGACTCGTTCGTGCTACAACCATAATATACATGCAGCGTGACTCTACTACATATAAATTTATATTTAAGAGCAGGTGTTTGAAAATACTATGTTGGCTAAGGTAAGGCGCTTGTCTCCCCCGGAACAGATGCCGGCTTGTCCTGGCGGGTTAGATCAGTAGTCGTGGCTAGGTCACCCACGGTGAACGAAGAGAAACCCGCAAAATTGGCACTAAGCGAAGGGCCGGGCACTCCGGGTAGGCTTGATGTTTTTTTTATATGAAAAGGTGACAATCGAGCAGACAGTTCACCTGATGGTAAGTAGTTGCTGTGACCCATAAACATCTACATCTATCCTCGTTTGCGAATCATAATGCAGATGCGTTGTCAGCCTCGAGGACTAAGAGAAATGCCTCTTTTCCAGTAAAAAGGGTCTCCGGTTCTCTACACTCACCATACGAAACACAGCAGCATTAAGCTGCTATTTGACGCTGGTATTCTGTGAGAGCGTGGTCCTTCCCCGGTCAAGCCGACCCATTCGTGCTACAAATATACAATTAATATAGCTGCAGCATGGCTCTACCACGTTAAGTGGATGTGAACTCTCTGCACTGTGTGAAGGCTAAACATTACCCGCCGTAGCCAAGGTGAAGACACGGTGAAACGTAGTCGATTGCAAAACCATAGGCCAAATCTGCTGCTAAGATCGAAAAGGCTTGTGCTTCCGAGTACACATATTTCCTCGCCCCACGGCTACCGCGTAACGGACACGGGCGACACGCAGTTGAAGAACGTGTACGCCTTATGTTCCGGCGTGTCTTACCTGAGAAGGAGGAAGTTAGAAAGAGTTCTCCTCTCTCGAGTAGGTGCGGCAAGTACTGGTGAGGTTGCAGATGTGTGTGAAAGCGTCCCCCTCGCCCTACTGATATGCGATGAAGGTGAAACACCACGATTTTTGGTCGGCGCGAATCCTAATTAACCCGTCCTTGTCCCCGCTAGGTATTCGTAGGCCAGGGAAAAAGTGGTTAGAGTAATTGACAAACGAGTTTCGCATCTGAGTTCGAGTCCCAGGCGGAGTTATTATAATAATGATTACACTGACCTCTCCAATAATATATTGACTTCTGTATCGCCCGCCAGCACCACGACACCAGCAGCTAACCATGGACGGTTGTCCTTACTCACTATTGCGAAATCACCTTCTTGAGGACCACTCGTTTTACTACTCTTTAAGTTATGTTCTTCTGAAATATATTAAAAATATTAGGTCACGTAATTTTTAAAAGAAAAAAACGGTAATATATACATAATTTTGTTTCTCACCTGACGTGATTCGTTCTCTGTGAAAAACATGCAAGTACTTATCTCGGGATGAACAAACTGAATGTAATTTGAGATTTGCTGCACAAGTCCCACGCTTGACTCTGTTAAAACAAATTTATCACAATACTATAAGTCTACTATTTTATTCTATACGATTCTAAAAATCTACAAAGACTAAAGGCTCGGTCAATACTGTTGCGACAAATATTTTTATAATAAAAAATATAGTAATTGACTGTAAGTACCGATTAAAAAAATATTAGTTACAGTTGGTTATTTTATTTATTAAAACATGTTGCAATTTATTACCACTATGCTACCTTTAGTAGACATAATCAATTATCAACCAACATCGGTTAACAAACGATTACTGCAAAACAATTAAAACATTTATGTGTATTTATTTCTACACTAAGGTTCATAAAGAATGAAAAATATATCAAATAGATTATAATTAATTAATTACATAACATAAAAATGACTAACTCCTAAGAAAACTTGTATAGTGGAAGATTAGATGTCAAGACCGCTTAACAGCACAACAAATTTAAAAAAAAAAAAAAAATATATATATATATATATATATATATATATATATATATATATATATGTACTTTGTATATATGTATATTTTAATGTATGTGTATGTATGTTCACTTATGTATAATGGTCGCACCTGCCAACAATTGTCCTTGGCATCCAGGGTTGACTGGCAGAGAATGCCACATGGCATTAAGTCCGCACTATGTACCCTTTAGCTTAAGGTGTTACATGTAAGTTTTTAAATAAATAAATAAACTCACAGTACCATAGTGCGAGCGAGTGAATAGATATGAAATAAAATATCGCTCGCGTAGGCCGTCGGTCGCTCGGAGCGTAAAATACCTAAATTTGCGTAACAGCGAAATGCAAGAGGGCTCTTAACATAAAATATATTCCAGGGTTCGAATGCCGCCAGCGCTCATGAAATTGTTAGTTACAATTTTAGGTGCTGATTAACAAGCTTACATTGCAGTAGCACAGCTGGAGCAAAGGAATTAAAAATAATAAACAATGATGATAAAAATAAAGACGTCACGGCGTCTGCAAAGCAACATCACATTTTCTAAAAATCATAAATCATCCTTCGTTACAACTACAATATCTAATATTAGCATTAAGTATAACAATATAAAAATTCGGTTTTAAAATTTTAATGGTTAACTTTTTTTCAAATTGCATAAAACATATGTTCGCTGCCACACTTGACTAGACATAAATAAAACAAATTTGGAACACAGGTATTTTGAACATTTTCTTTACCACATGACACACAAACGACTGTGTTGCGAAACTACCACTAAAGACATGTTAATTTTATCTTTTAATACGCAAACAATGTATCTATAACCAACGATTGGCTACTACGCCATCTGCTGATGCAGCCGATGATGGTAAAGTGCACTGATGTAACAAGAGCCTGTTCACTCTTGCCTTGAAGACCCACATTGTAATCGGATGGTGCAACGGATGCTGGTAAATTGTTCCACTTCTTTGCAGACGAACGACAAAGAAAACCGTTTGTAAACCGTAGTGAAAGGGAGAGGGAGGAATTAAGTCATGCAATTACTGCGCACACCATCCGAAATATATCCTAGTACCTAAAATCTGGCTACTTTGCGGCTGTGCTCGAGACTGGTAAGATTAGCTTTATCCAGGACATGGGAAATTTGCACTGAAGGAGTATGGCGGACTCCGCGCTCTATTACCCAAATAAGAGCAGCCTTACATATGCTGATGCCTGTGTAAGGCTGCTGTTAAGTTATTAACAGGTTATTATAAAGATTCCTAATTTTCTCATTAAAATAATATCTACATTTCCCCTCACCTTTTCTCCACACTGTCGGTCCACAATGCATGCAACGGAGCCGTGGTCAACTGAACTTTCTCCTCTAGCTTCAACAGTCTCGTCCAATGCAGAAAGTAGTTAACATGCTCTATGGACAAATGACCAATCGCATCATTGCGTAGCCTTGACAGTGGATGAGAGTTTGACACCTTGGGGCCATCTGTGTGCCTGAAATAAAGAATTTTAGTAAAAAAAGGATAACGATAGTTTTGCCGTTAATTAAAAGTAAAGCTTATACGTACGTGGTATATTATCATAGCAGATAATTTTATAGGCACATTAGTTAATATAGGTGCACGAGTACAATTAACCCATTAACTGACAGATTAAAACATCGGGCGAGCTGTGACATAGAATTGGCATGATTTGGAATTTATTTTAATTCTAGTCTTCTCGCGATGTTTCCCGCTATCGCCAAGGAAGTTGTAAAATGGTGCGTAAAATAGAACGTTTTTTTTAATCAAAAGTATTGAATAAAAAATGTTAGAAGTACAGAAAGTCTAAAAATTTGTTAAATTAAATAAAGATATAACTTTATATATGTAAAAAATATTAAATAAATATTTCATTTTATAGAATAAGGTTGACAAACGAGCACACAATCTAACTATGGTAAGTGGATGCTGTAGCCCATAGATAGCTACATTTATCCTCGATTAAGAATCAAAACACAGATGTTTTGAGAGATTTGTTACCCCTGAGGACTAAGATGGAATGCCTCGTTTCCAGTAAAAATCTCCAGTAACGATCTCCGGAACTCTACACTCACCACACGAAACACAGCAGTTAAGCTGCTATTTTACGCGGGTTTTAATATATATATATATATATATATATATATATATATATATATATATATATATATATATATATATATATATATATATGTGTGTGTGTGTGTGTGTGTGTGTGTGTGTGTGTGTGTGTGTGTGTGTGTGTGTGTGTGTGTGTGTTTGCGTGTGCGTGTCGCGTGCGTGCGTGTGTGTAAGAGCGTGGTCCTTCCCCGGTTGACCCGACCCATTCCATAATATAGCTGCAGCGTGGCTCTACCACGTACCAATATAATAATAAATAAGTTAATAACTTTACAACGTTTCATAAAACCCCATTAAACATAAAAGGTGGAAAGGTTTAGCGATACGGTATTATAGTGATAATAACATAGACAAAATACAGATTCTTAGCACCAGATAAGTGAACGTAATAATGTAAGAAAAAATAAAAGCGAGGGAGAGAAGTTAGAGAGACATAATATATCTGATTTTTAAGCGAATCTAAGACCTAAGCATATTCAACGGACTAAGATAATATAACGCTTAAATGCACGCGATTCAATAAAAGTGAAGATTCAATGAAGGTGAAAACCGAAACTGAAAGTTTTTCCTATATCGGTAATAAGGCAACTTACCATAAATGCAAAGAGCATAGTGTGAGATAGGGACACTTTGAACAAGCTGCCTCATGATGTACTGGATCAGGAAGACTTTGCCCTGCTTCCTCTATATCAACATCATCTGTAGGTACAAGAATATAAATGCATCAGACCTTCTGGAAGAAATTTCAATATGAAATAAGCAGTGCTTTTGTACAAAATATCTTTTTAATTTTCATTGTAACATTACTTCGTGTGTACATAAATTGTTAAATCAATAAATAAATACATATATGTATTATTATTTCAGATAGGAAGAAAAAATTTTGTAAAATTCACATACGCCATTTAATCATTATTTTGTGGTCACAGACTTCAATCAACACAAAAAAGGCTCGGGCTATAATGATGATAATGAACAGCAGATTATTCCGGCATACTACTTTAGTGTCTATAGGCAAACATCATCTGCCTTCGAAATGTTTTATTTGACATGCCGGTTTCAAGATGGTTTTTGCCGCCCGGCACGTGGTAAATCAGTAATTTCGTCGCTACCGGTAGAGATCGAACTCTAGTTGCTCGCGTTCTGAGTTTCCACGAATCTAGGAGATGTGTAGACTTTAATGTATTATCTATAGCAAAAGGTTTAAGCCTACATAAAAGACTGTTCTTCTCAACAGACGATACAGAATTGAAATACAATGGTCTACTTGAATTTCAAATTTAAAAATCACATGCAATCTGTATTCTTGTCGCAAACATCGGTTTGTGATAAAACAATTGTGATTACAATAAGTTCTATAATTTAAAACTTCATTTGATACCGTGTATTTATGAACATAATATATATTTTTTTGCTTAATCAAGCATAATGATTCGCATTTAGTTTACTTATCAAACACCTTGTTACACCAACCGATATTGATGCAGCACAATGGATTTTCCGATCTATGTCCTTCACAGGAATGAGAGGAACCCATCCTGTGCCTTTAGAGGCAGAAAAACCACCTATACTATATACCTACCCAAAAATACCTAAGTGGGAACATTAAGATATAGGTCCGAGAACAACATGCTCAAAGAAACAAATATTACCTTTGTCACCCTTTGTCCCTTTGATCCTTTGTCAGGCCCTAATAAAAATCCTTAAATTCACAAAAAAAAATTGTGGGTTACTCATGGGCAAAAAAACTATCCTATCTCTCAAGTTGGACCAAACTGCACACGGTGTGAAAATTTGATTAAAATCGGTTGAGTAGTTTAGAAGTCCGTCGCGGACAAACAACGTGATACGTAATTTATATATATTAAGATTATATATATATATATATATATATATATATATATATATACATAAACACTCACGCCTGTCACCCAGAGGGGTAGGCAGAGACTACAGACTTCCATTTGGCACGATCCTGACACACCTCTCTCGCCTCCTTCACATACACCTACGCATACATGCTCGTCGGTTAAGGGTACTCCTAATTTGGCCCGTTTTTAATAAATCGCCAATTTGGTCGATAATTTTCGCCTAGGACGTCCCTTTCCGACTCTGCCATTCACTTCTGCAACATAAATTTTCTTTGTCAGTCTTTCCTCATCCATTCTTTCCACATGACCAAATCACCGAAGCATTCCTTTCTTAATCCTGGTCACAACATCATCTTGCAAACCACACTCTTCTCTTATTACACAATTTCTTACCCTGTCATTCAGATTCAGCCCTAACATACTCCTTAACGACCGCATTTCTACTGCGTTCATTCTACTCTCGTGCTTCTTCTGCCACACCCAACTTTCACTACCATACGTTAAAGTAGGGACCAACACAGCATTGTGAATTGCCATGCATGCCTTTTTCCGACACATTTTGACTCTTCACAATATAGTGTAGGGCCCCATTTACTCTATTTCCCGCATTCACTCGTCGTTCTATATCCTTATCATATCTCCCATCTCTGCTAAATACGCAGCCCAAATATACAAACTCGTCTACTTGCTCGATCAACTCCCCTTCTATTCTTATTTCACAAATCGTTTTACTTTCTTCTCTTTCAAAAACCATAACCTTCGTCTTACTTGCGTTCACTTTCATACCCCTTTCTTTTAATGATCTGTTCATTAATGTGACCATCATTTGCAACTCGGCCGCCGACGACGCAAGGATAACTTGATCATCGGCGTACAAAAGGCATTTGACGGTTAACTCACCCATTCTTAGTCCGCATTCTTCAACTTTCAAATTTTGCAAACAACTGTCCATAAATAGGTTGAACAGCCACGGGGAAGCCACACAGCCCTGTCTGACACCTTTATGGATGTCAAACCAGTCCGAGTAGACCCCGTTGATCCTAACACAAGCACTAGAGTCCCTATAAAGAGACTCCAATGCCTGTATCAAGCCTGCGCTCAACCCAAATGATTTCAGTGTTTGCCATAGCACATCCCTATCAACTCTGTCATAAGCCTTTTCCAAGTCCATGAACGCACAAAAAACCTTTTGGTTTTTGGCCAAAAAGTTCTCCCCGATCATGCGCATGGAAAAGACTTGATCTGTACATCCCATTCCCTTTCTAAATCCCGCTTGCACATCCCAAATTTTTCCATCAGTTTCTTTCATGACCCTTTCAATCAGTACTTTAGCATACAGTTTTCCCACAATGCTAAGAAGGCTGATGCCACGGTAGTTTTTACAGTCCTGCTGCGACCCTTTTCCTTTATATATCACGGCTTTGCACCAGTCTACCGGTACCCGCTTCAGTTCCCAGCATAAATTAAACAAGGTGTGCAGCAGGCCTGCCACCACTTCCTCTCCAGCCCTTCGCATTTCGAGTGAAACTCTATCATATCCGGTAGCCTTACCTGCTTTCATGCTTTTCATTCCTTTCATTATTTCATCTATACTTATCTCGCTACCTCTTTCCTCTTCTTTCGGAGTTTCTACTTCACTTAGTACACTCGTTGTCTCCTCACTCATAAACACACTTTCAAAATATTCCTTCCATCTCTTTAAACTCAAAACTTCATCATTTAGAATATAGCCATTCTCGTCTCTTATAGCATTCATCATAGGCTGTTTTGAATGTCTCCTGGCAGTTCTTACAAGTTTCCAGAACATTTTAATATTTGCCTGGAAGTTATCCGATATTCTTCTATCATTCTTATCCGTTCTTTCTTGCTTTTTTCTTTCAACTACTTCTTTTACTCTCTTATTAAGATGTCTAAAGACTGCCTTTTTTCTTTCAATATCGCATTCGTACCGCTAGAATTACCAGCCTTTGTTGCTAGTAAATCTAGCCATGCTCTCTTCTTTGCTTCAACTTCCATACGTATCTCATCATCCCACCATAAAGTATTATTTTTCCTTTCATTCTTTCTCTTACTAACACCACATACTTCGGTAGCTGCATCCACTAAACCTTTCTTTACATTTTCCCATACGTTCTCCAAGTCTAACTCCTTCATACATAATTCATCCAAACCACTTATATTTTCTTTCAGTCTACATTTGAATTTGTTTTTCTCACCTTCATCTTGTAATCTTTTTTGTTCTAATACGTTGTAATATATATATATATATATATATATATATATATATATATATATATATATATATATATATATATATATATATAGGTGTACTATATATATTTTTGTAGCACTAACATAATTATTATTTGGTTTAAGGCATTAAGTCCGCCGTGTGTACTACTTTTGCGTATAAAAGTTAAAATAAATAAATAAATAATTTGTTTAAATGATATTGGTTTTATTAGATCAAAATCATTATTCACACGTGTGGAAATTATATAACTTTTAAGACAAGCAGGATTCCTTACAATTTTACATTCTCACCACTGACACATTGTGAATCAGTACTTTTCTTTAGAAGTGTGTAACTGGAGGTGAGTGGATGTTTTGAGGTAACATCTACATCTTTCCTTGATCACGAATCAAAATGACCGAAAACTAATGGAATAGAATGCCACTATCAATCAAATCAGTCACATCATTATTATTATTATAATCCCGTTCTGGTCACTCACCATACGAAACACGGCAGCATCATGCTGTAATTTTACGCAGGAATTATTTGAGAGCGTAGTCTTTGCCCGGTAGAGCCGACCAATCGTGTTCCCGTCGTAATGCAGATGCACCGTGGCTCTACTACGTATATTATATTACACGTATTATACATTCCGATAAAAAGGTCACTGGTCCCAGCGAGGATGAAAGCCGACATGTATTATGAAAATATAAGGAAAGTACACAGACTAGCCTCCGTGGATACCATGCGAGGGGCGATCAATTAACGGCGATATACCAGATTATAGTTATCTCTTTCTAGTTCATATATCTAAATGTTTTTGTGCGGGGTAGAGCCACGCTGCAGCTATATTAGTATAGTTGTAGCACGAATGGGGTCGACTCGACCGGGGTAGGACCACTCTCAGAATACCAGCGTAAAATAGCAGATTAACGCTGCTGTTTCGTATGGTGAAAGTAGAGAACCGGAGACCCTTTTTACTGAAAAGGACGCATTCCATCTTAATCCTTACGGGAGACAATGCATCTGCATTTTGATTCATAATCGAAGATAGATGTAGATATCTCTGGGCCACAGCAACCACTTACTATGAGGTGGACAGTGTGCTTAAAAGTTACTTATAAGTTGTTAATTAAAGAAGATGAAGCAAACCCAAGTTTGATCTCCGCCGGCACCAATGAAATTGTTAATTGCAATTTTAAGTGTTTATTTACTACGTGCTCAGCGGTGCAGAAAACCATCGTGAGGAATACTGAATGTCTGAAAAATAAAAAAAATATTTCGAAGATTTGTCTTGCCCTAAAACACTCAGAAATGAGAGGAGGCCCGTGCCCAGCAGTAGGACGTATATAGGCTGTAATTTTAACGTTAAATGATGATCGATAACAGCATTACTAGTGCGAGGGTATTTGCTCTGTTTGACTACAGTACAGTAAAAGACTAAAAAGCCTGTTTATCTGATATAAATACAAACCGATTCGACAATCTGTTGGCCCAGGAGCTAAATGCTGAACAAGTTGGTTCCGCAGCATAATGAGATCACGACGTTCTGGGTAGCCGCAGCTTACTTCGCGAAGCTCGATGCGTTCCCTGTTGGTGCATTTTTAGAAAAATATATAAACCACAGATGGTAATTCGATCTTAATTGCAAGTAGGTATATTAGTTTACCTTATAAATTAAGTTTTGATTTAATTATAAATGTGGTAGCGGCGTAAGAGACCAAACGGCTTAGAATTAGATGAACTCCGATAGATTGCGGTATAACCATCTACTATTGTAAAAAAAGACCAAGTTATTGAGGACAATGTCAAAGTTCCGGGACGTCTGATATTGCAATCGCCAATCCGCGTGACGATCGCGTCAAAACGTCCAATTAATGGGGATGCACAGGAAGTCAGTTGACGAAGCCTTATTCGTTAGTCAGAAACAAATAGTACATAATTTATAATTATATATCATGATAGCGGTCATATACAGGAAGTCTCAATAAGGTCAGACGATGCTATCTCAGTCAAGTGAGTTCAGACTTTAAACAAAAGAAATCACATTTATCGGCTTTCTTTAGGACTCCGCTTTCTTTAGGACTATCAACACAATAAATAATAAAACAAGACATTAAACCAGAATGAGTGTGTTTGTATGTACCATCTTATAAGGTGAATATATGAGCGAATTAAATATCAGAGTGAAAGATGGGTGAGTCAATACACATGTCTTACATTTATATACATACGTATATAAATGTAAAAGACAGACATACACACACACATACCCATATCCCACACGCACATTGAATTAATATTTCTAATTGAAATAAAATAAATGTCAACAAAGGCTAGCACCTCTTTTGTTTATTTTTAAAAAGATTCGGCCAAAAGAAACTCCATGTTAGAAATGACAAATGACAGAATAACCATATCAATAATTGATAATAATATTATTGGCTGCTTTCCATGATTAATACTAAGGAATAGAATATGAAAGAGAGATTAATATTAAATATGATTGCTATTTCGTCAACCAGTCGTGTTAGAGGTGTTTGGATGTTGTAAGTTAGAACATGTGGATCAAAAGTATTAAGCTTTAAATTATTATTATATTTTGTGCACTAGTGTATTTGTTTTGTCGAAACATAACAAATTATATTACTTGCCAGTGTTTTGCCCTATAAACCACCAAAGCTTGGCAAATAAGGTTTAATCTACAATAAAGAGTTATACATAAATATATATAAGCAAAATACCACTAACTGACTGAATTTAGTATAATTACTGATTTCGCAATGAGACGCACACTAAGAACGGATTTTACGATTGTTCCATTATAAAAAAATTAACAGGTTCCGCAATAAAATATTATCGTGTGGACGCACGATACTCACTTCAAATAAAGGAGCAAGCCACGCTGCAACGCAGTAGCTGGATTCTCTCCCCTCTGCAGACTCAACATCATGCCATATAGGACAAGTTGTCCGCGGTGCTCCGCTGATAGGGAAGCTCGACCGCTCTTCAGCTCTAATGGCACTATTTCACGCTGCTGACCTTGTAATCAAATAAAAAATAAACATACGTTATAGTCGCTTCCTAACATAAAAATTGATTTAGCTTGAACAGTTAAATTCCTTAACAATAAATGATTACGTAATGATGTTAATTCTATGAAAAAATAATTTTTAAACAGAAAGAATTAACAATAAAGCTTGCTCAACTTGCGGTTATCTAGTTTTATGAATTAAAATACACATTCCGTTAAAGAATTTTCCCAAAATATACTAGAAGCACTTCATAGAATGCTCTTTTTGGACAATTTGCTCACACTGAACAGGTGGGCAAACAGGTTGAAGACCGCAAAGCCGATAAACTGAAACTGTTAACATTGCGGCCACCAGTCTGTGAAACCACAACCACCAACAGACATCAGTCTGTAAATTTTAGGATCAGGTTTAACGAATAAATTTTTCGTCAAAAATCACCAAAGAATCAATTCTGTTGGCATGGTGCATCGAGTTCAGATGATGTCTTCATTCGGAGAAAGTGTTGAAATATGCTCCCTCTTAAAACAAACTAAAGTTGCAGTTTGCTTAGATAAGACCCACAGCTGGGCGCAGGCCTTCTCCTATATTGAAAGCCTTATAGACCAATAAGTCCGCTGCGCTGCCCCAGTGATTATTCTGGATATATTTAAAGTCTTGATCCTACAGTTTTCTTCACGTTGTTTTTCTTCACCGCCAAGTGCGTGGTAAATTGGAATTAACAAAAACATTATTGTCAGCAGGAATCGAACTAGAGATGCTCGTGTACTGTGGTATTTATGGGAAGCACTTAGCCCTTGAGTTACCACTGCATTCTACACCTACACCCACTTATCCTCACATTTTTTTTTTTTGGATCGGTTAGTACAATACGCCTTATATTTTAAATTACCACCAGAACATAGAATATTCAATAAGTATTTGAAAATTAATTTAAGTAAATAATATATTTATTTTATATTTATTACTTTGCCTTTCATGAATAGTGACTTCTAATGTAGCATCTATTTTCCCCTTTAAACCTAACTGAGGGCAGCAGATATTCTCTTCTATATCCAGAACTTTTTCTATATGTCCAGTCCATTTATTATTCGGTTTTGGCTGAAAAATTAACAATAAGAGCATAAATATCGGGGCAGAAAATAAATTAAATGAAAATCGTATTAATTTCGTACCATGCCATTGAATGGGTTATCAGCTACGTAAATGCGCATAAAATCGCTTAGTGGTATTATATATAGATCCATATTTGAACGTGCTTCCTCTTCACAAAGACCTGCATCAAACAGCATCTGTATGGATTCTTTAATAATGTTATCCGCTTCTAACCGCAATTGTTCCGGACTGAGTATACGATGTGTTAGTGCTTTTTGAACCAACTCATGTATTAAAATACCAACGGTCATCTGAAATATTGTAACATACAAGTAAGAGGACAATACAACGACAGTAAAAATTAATTCCACAAGCAAATCTAACAAGTAGGCTCTGAAGCTGTCGCAGTATATATTACTCTACTCTATGAGCTGTCGTCAACTGAGTGGAAGATAATGTTACGAGAGCCAATGATATATACATATACAAGGTGTAAGTGTAAACACTGTTGTCACTAACGATAACCATAGGTTTTAATAGAAAAATATTTATCCGAATTTAAAAAAACACGCTATTTTCTTTCATAAAATTTAAAAAGTTTCTATCCAACACCGTCCGTAAATTCATGGATACCCTATGCGCCCGAGTGACGTAATCACTGTAAAGATCACCGCCCACGCTAGCTACCAACATATCCCAATAAAAATACAATAGGTACACATAACCTGTGATATAACTTTTCCTTCATACTTTCATCCTGGCTTAGGACAGGCAAAATTGAGGAATTAAGGAAAAATTGAGATTTTACTAAAAAAATTTTATTTTTCATTGAATTTACGTTCTAGAAGTTAAAGCAAACCACTGGTTTCAAGGATAACGGTGTTTGCACTAACAGCCTGTATATATATATATATATATAACATAAACACTCACGCCTGTCACCCTGAGGGGTAGGTAGAGACTACAGACTTCCATTTGGCACGATCCTGACACAACTCTCTCGCCTCCTTCACATTTATACACCTACGATACATGCTCGTCGGTTAAGGGTACTCCTAATTTGGCCCGTTTTCAATAAATCGCCAATTTGGTCGATAAATTTTCGCCTAGGACTTCCCTTTCCGAATCTGCCATTCACTTCTGCAACATAAATTTTGTTTGTCACTCTTTCCTCATTCATTTTTTCCACATGACCAAAACCACCGAAGCATTCCTTTCTTAATCCTGGTCACAACATCATCTTGGAAACCACACTCTTCTCTTATTACACACATATATATATATATATATATATATATATATATATATATATATAAAAAATGTGTGTGTGTGTGTGTGTGTGTGCGTGCGTGTGTCATGTCGTACACGTAACATAATTAACGCACTTTGAGAAAGTAGTTTGTTCAGAATTGTTTACTGAATCGATTCCTATCATTTTTAATATAGCTAATTTTTTATCCCAAAAATAATTAAAACTACGTAAATTACAGTCGCACTAAATTTGTACTGTCAAAACAAATTGAAATGGACCGTAACTTAAGCCAATAAGACTTTTAAGAGTGCAGTTTTATTTGTATTATTACTAATTCTGTCATTCAATAAAAATAAAGAAAAATGAACTTTATTTCAAGCACGTTAAAGTCTTTGCGTTCGTGGATTTGTACTGTGACCACAACAGTCTTCCGGAATCAGTATAATTAATTTGATAAATAATCGGAGCATAAAAATGTTTAACTAAAAATTTAGAGTATGTATTATGATTATAACATAATATACTAATTGGGGTGTCTGAGGGTGTGCGTTAATTACGTTACATATTGTATATAAATTATTAAAAATTTTAAATTATATAAATACATAAATTACTAGCACGCGAAAACAAAGCATCGGAAAGTGGTGAATTAGCCACTCCATCCCTTAGCTAACAAATATGACGCCATTATAATGTAAACTTAAAGAAAAACAGACAACAATAGACGTTTCAGAACTGGTGCGATAAGAACACGAAGATCGAGAGAAAGTAGTGAAATGTAAATAAAATATTAAAATATGCATGTGCGCTGCCGCTGGGATAGCCGAGTTCAGAACATTTTTTCGGTGGTTTTGTAGGCATATACCTAACGTATCTATAAAAAATATCATTGACGACAGCCAGTTTTTTTTTATAGCATAGGGTGACAAACGAGCATACAGTCCACGGTGTTATGATGGTAAGTGGTTGCTGCGGCCCATAAACATCTACATCTATCCTCGATTAAAAATCAAAATGCCGATGCGTTGTCACCCGTGAGGACTAAGATGGAATGCCTCGTTTCCAGTAAAAAGGGTCTCCGATTCTCTACACTCACCATATGAAACACAGCAGCATTAAGCTACTATTTCACGTTGTATTCTGTGAGAGCGTGGTCCTTCCCCGGTCGAGCCGACCCACTCGTGCTACAACTATACTACTAATATAGCTGCAGCATGGCTCTACCACATATAAAAGCTGCGTGTTGCATCATATTTTACGAGAATGATCTCGAAGATTTAAGGCGTAGGTGTAAAAATATATAACGCAAAAAAGTAATTGATACTTATAATGAAAACGCAGCTTTTTCTCTTTCGGACATGCTAATCACGAGTTTTCTATTATTTTACATGAATTACCATTAAAAGAGGTGTATGTTTGAATGACCCGCATTGATCTAGAGTATTCTATATTTCGTTTGTTGGAAATAAAAATATGCGCCGGTTAGAGAATAAATTATTTCGATAACGCAATAGAGTTTACTCTGTTCTGGGAATTTACTCGCTCCGCGTGTAATAAAAACTGGTGCAACACGCAATTGGCTGTTGTAACAGTAATAATGTCGAATTTCGACTATGGCGGCCAACGGAGACTAGCCATATGCTTAAGAAAGGCTAGAGCCTAGTGCTGCACAGCTGCAGTCGTCAGCAGATTTGACAGCATACAGGCAACTGAACAAACAGATCTCCAAATGCATGCGGCGGGACTTACGCAACTTTAATACTGCGCGTATTAAAGAAGCAATCGAGCGGAACCAGGGCTCCAAAGTCTTTACCATAGATCTGTCTGCTAAAAAGAGCCAACTGTCAAGGCTTAAGACTGAGTGTGACAGCATCGTTTCCGGGACACTTAAGATTTTGAGTGAGATTGAGAGGTTCTACGGGCAGCTGTACACATCATCGTTGGAACCACATGCAAGTGTGAGTAACGATCCAAGAGCAAGTCTTATCCGACACTATTCCGATGATATCCCGGACGTCAGTCTGAGCGAGATTAGACTGGCTCTCCAGCACCTTAAAAACGGCAGGGCCCCAGGCGAGGATGGAATTATAGCGGAGCTTCTGAAAGCGGGTGGAACACTAGTACTTAAAGTTCTTCAGAAGCTCTTCAATTCGGTCCTCCATGTAGGCACTACTTCGGAGGCGTGGAGCAGAAGTGCGGTGATCTTGTTTTTCAAGAAAGGTGACAACGCTCTCTTGAAAAACTACAGACCGATTTCCCTTCTGAGCCGCTACTACGTGCTGTTTTCGAGAGTCATCTCCCGAACAAGCCGGTTTCCGAAAAGGCTTCAGTACCATAGATCACATACATTACATACCTTGCGGCAGAATGTACAGAGGACCGAAGAGTACAATCTGCCACTTTGCCTGGCGTATGCAGACTATGAGAAAGCCTTTGATTCCGTCGAAATGGGCGGTGCTACAGTCTCTTCAGCGGTACCAAGTTGACTGTCGGTATATCGAAGCACTGAAGTGTTTGTACAGTAGGGCTACGATGATTATCCGAGTACAGAACCAGAGTTTGAAACCTATCCAACAGCAGAAAGGTGTAAGACAGGGTGACGTTATATCTCCGAAACTCTTCACCGCTGCATTGGAAGACGTTTTCAAGCTACTGGACTGGAAAGGATACGGTATTAACATCAATGGCGAGTACATCACTCACCTTCGATTTGCCGACGATATAGTCCTTATGGCAGAATCACTGGAGGACTTAAGCACTATGCTCAATGACCTCAATAGTGCCTCCCAAAGGATAGGTCTTAAGATGAACATGGACAAAACAAAGATCATGTTTAATGTCCATGTCACACCTATGCCGGTATTTGTTGGAAGCACTATGCTCGAAGTTTTTGACGAGTATGTTTACCTGGGACAAATAGTCTGACTAGGTAAGTCCAACTTCGACCAAGAGGTCAATCGACGGATTCAACTCGGCTGGGCAGCGTTCGGAAATTTACGACATATCTTCTCGTCAGGTATACCTCAAACTCTGAAAACTAGATTGTATAATCAGTGCGTGTTGCCAGTGACGACTTTCGGATCTTAGACTTGGTCCTTCACTGCAGGCCATTTGAGGATGCTCAAGGTCGCTCAGCGAGCTATGGAGAGGGCTATACTCGGGGTTTTTCTGTGTGATAAACTCAAAAATAAGGATATCCACAGTGGAACCAGAGTGACCGACATAGCCCAACAGATTAAGCTGAAGTTAGTAAGCTGAAGTGGCAATGCTGTGGCTGTTTTTTACGTGGAAGAACCATGTTACAGCTATATTAGTAGTATAGTTGTAGCACGAATGGGTCGGTTCGGCCGAGGAAGGACTACGCTCTCATAGAATACCAGCGAAAAATAGCAGCGAATGCTGCTGTGTTTAGTATGGTAAGTGTAGAGAACCGGAGACCCTTTTTACTGGAAAAGAGGCTAAATAGAGAAGGAAACAAAATATTACAATATATCAGTCCGGCTACTTACTCCATATTAAAGTTTCTTCTTTCTGTTTACTTAACCTAGTAGTAAAAAAATGTTTTAAAATATTATTATAATATCTTATGTAATGTAAAGTCTCTCTTATCACATCAACGCATCTGCATTTTGATTCGTGATCGAGGATTGATGTAGATATCTATGGGCTGCAGCAGCTACCATTACCATCAGATGGACTGTGTGCTCGTTTGTCACCCTTATCCTATAAAATAAAATAAAAAGCATGTGTGTCACTCTTTAGTCCCTCTTATAGTCCGATGGATCGGCAAACCAACACAGCCGGAGAGAGATTAGGCACAGGATCAATTGCTTTACGTGCTTTTCGAGGCACAGGAGTGAAACAGACAACTTTCTGACAGTGCTTCTGAGAATTTCTTGACCCTGGATCTCATGATTAGCAGTTGCACTTACGATCACTACAAGGCAGGCAAGTCTGCTTCTCGTGCAAGATATTATGGTACCGAAGTACGATTTAATGATAGAACTTTATTAGAATACCAGCTTTTATACATACCGCTACATTAGCCGAATCAATCCCTCGCCAGCGCTCTTGTAATGCAGCCTTTCTCTTACAAAACACCCCCGCTACAACACTAGTAGATGATAGCAGATAGTCGGGTCTTAAAACTATCAGGCCTGAAGTGTTGTTTACATGAAACTGACCAGAAGAATTACGAGAAGCTAATATGCTAACAGTTTCTCCTGGCTGTATGCTTAAATCCATCCTAAAAATAATCATTTTATTAATAATGGTATATAAATAGATAATAATTAATGTACACAGATAAGGACAAGAAAGTGTCTCGACAAGGTTAGATATAGGCAATAAGCACCAGTTTAATCAGAATAACCATACGGCATTTGTTAAAGGTCATACAGATTTACGCACTAACCGTGGTACATTACGATGAGGAGGCGAAGGAAATGTATGAATATATCTCTAGAGCAGAGTCATGCATTCACAACGCAAACCAGACACAGCGGGTCAACAGCTAGCCGACTTCATGGAGAAGGGTCCCTCATACTCATCTTGACAACTTTTTGTAATGAATAAAACATGCAGTCCACAAACACAAACATAAATGAGATGTGTTGTCACCCCGGAGGACTAAGATGGAATGCCTCGTTTCCAGTAAAAAGGGTATATGGTTCTCTACACTTACCATACGAAACACAGCAACGTTATGATGCTACTCGTATTTTACGCTGGTATTCTGTGAGAGCGTGGTTACACGGTCGAGCCGACCCATTCGTGCTTCATCTATAATATAGCTGCAGCATGGCTCTACCACATGATATCGTTTCCGGGACACCTGACACGTACAGTACACGTCATCGTTAGAGCCACACGCAAGTGTGATTAACCCAAGAGCAAGTCGCATCTCCCCCATAAAACCACGGGTGGGGATGGAAATACTGCAGAGCTTCTAAAAGCGAGTGAAAAACCGGTACTTATAATCCTTCAGAAGCTCTTCAATTCTCCCTCAATCCTCTATGGTGGTACAACTCCGGAAACGTAAAGCAGAAGTGCGGTGGTGCTTGTCCTTGAAAAAGGCGACAACGCTTTATTGAAGATATAAAGACCGATCCTGAGCTGCGTCTTCGTATTGTTTTCAAGTCATTACGAATTGTGTTGCATTCAGACTCGACGACTTTCAGCTTCCCGAACAAGCCGCTGGATACGATCACATGGATGGCGCTGGCACTGGGAAGCCCCAACCCAGAGATGGGAACAGTATTCCATGTGCGGCCGAATCTCAAAATTAGGCCGAATTATAAGTAGTAGAGCCATGCTGCAGTTATATTAGTAGTATATTTGTAGCACGAATGGGTCGGCTCGACTGGGGAAGGACCACGCTCTCACAGAATACCACCGTGAAATAGCAGCTTAATGCTGATGTGTTTCGTATGGTGAGTGTAGAGAACCGAAGACCCTTTTTACTGGAAACGAGGCATTCCATCTTAGTCCTCACGGGTGACAATGCATCTGCATTTTGATTTGTAATCGAGGATAGATGTGGATGTCTATGGGCCGCAGCAACCACTTACATCATGACGTTGCTCGTTCCCAAAAAAACCTGCGCCTTGTAAAGTTGCAGGCGATGTGCCGGCAAGAAATACTGTCCCGCTTTGCTGAGTATGCTAAGCTTTTTAGATGCCAATTTGGCCTTCTCTTCCAAGTGACCACGAAATATCATTCTATATGTCGACGCCGAGGATTCCGATACTGGGTCAGGCAGCAAGGAGAGGACCTTGAAACTGAGGATATACGGCGAAGGGGTTCTTTTTAGCGGTAAACGCGCAAACTTGTGTCTTTTAAGGATTGAACTGGACTAGATTTAGTCGCCCTCAGTCCGAGACTTGTTCAACAAAGTCTCGACTTCAGGCACAAGTCTGTCCCCGGTACTCGACATTTACCCGCAAAATATTGGCATGGTCGGTGTACATAGCATCACCAATGCTGTCGTCCGCATAGCAATAAATGTTACCGGTTTGCAACATGTCATCAATATGCAGAAGAAACAGCATTGGTGTTAGATAGTACGCAGCCTTCCAATCCTTCAATTCCAATCTGTAAGAAAACTGGTGATCCAATGGCACAATTTCTCGGGAAGCCCATAGGAAGGAAGTTTCTTAAGAAGCGCTTTGTGCCAAACCCGATCGAAGGCCTTCACTATGTCTAAACTAACCGCCAAAGCCTACCCCTTGAACTCGATCGCCTGTGCCTATCGGTGTATTAGATAAACAAGAATCACCAGCTGAGCGAAAGCTACGGAAACCGTACTGGCGGTCACTAATCAGCTGATGATCCTCAAGGTACCGCATAAGCTGGCTGTTAATAATTGACTCCATTATTTTAGAGAACAAGAAGGTGATGGCGATAGGCGTATAGTTGGACGGATCAGAGCGGTTACCTTTTTTAGGAATCGGGTGCACGAAAGCTGTCTTCCATGACTTCGGGACTACGCCTAAGGAGTAGGAGTACCGAAAAAGACGCGTTAAAACCGGTGCCAATTCCGGAGCACACGTCTTCAGTACAATAGGAGGGACACCATCAGGGCCGCTCGACTTGTTGACGTTCAGGGGGAGGAGTGCTCTGCTCATCGAGCGTTGGGTAAACAGCACATCCTGCATGGAACTCTCACACAGCGGGATGGTCACCGGTGTGTTCCCCCGTCATCAAAAGTCGAGTTGGACGCAAAGAGAGAGCCCAGCAGATCAGCTTTGTCCTTTGTGGCATGGGCCAGTGAGTTGTTCTCCCTGTGTAGAGATGGGCGAGAAGGCTGACATCCGAGACGTCGATGCGTAATTATGCTTATGGCGTAATGCAATTTTGCAGGAGCGACCAAACCATGGCTGAGTTCTGCCTCCGACAGGTACCACAGATGATGGCATAAAAAGTTCCATTCCAGAAGGAAGGCGAACTAGTTTCTCGCCAATTCTGCCTATGTGCTCCGACTTTGCCTTGGCAATAACTCTTTTGAAGGACCTAGAGGCGGAATTATACTACTTTTTTAGAGCGCTGGTGTTTACATCCCGTGACGTTGATGCGTCAGCCCAGGCTTGGTAGCACTCCTGCTATAGCTGCTGTTATTTTACAGGAGCGACCAAACCACGTCTAAGATTGCCTCCAATAGGCACCACAGAGGACGGAATAAAAGTTCCATATCCTGAAGTACCACATCAGCGACAGAAACAGCAACAACGCTGGAATCATCCTGCGAGAAGCAAACCCGCCTCCAAGGGTAGAATGCAAAAAAAGATCGCATCCTGTCCCAATCGGCTGACCTATAATGCCAAACACGGCGGCAAAGCGTGAGTGGCACCGTACTCCGGATCAAACAATGGTCAGAGGAGCTAAGAGGGCATCAACGGAGACATGATATCCGTTCGGATGAGAGGTCAGCAGGAGGTCCAACAGGGAAGGTACACGATCCTCCACATCTGGGATCCGCATAGGCGAGGTAACCAGTTGTGTCAGACCATATCCAAAGCGGTCATAAACAGATCTACCTGCATGATTAGTTAAACGAGAATTAAGCCATTCAGCGTGGTGGGCGTTAAAATCACCAAGCATCACAATATCGCTGCGGATGGGACCTGTTGAAGCACGGAGTCTGCAGCCATGGTCGTTCATTTGGACATGGTCGATGAGTTGGTCTATGTCGGCACTACCGCTATGGGACCTATAGAGGCTCCTGTAGACGCGGAGATGGTCGTCGCTGTCTAGGCGAAGCCATAAGATAGACAGGTCCGTACCTCCAAGGCTGCCGAGGCGTCGAAAACAGATGCCCTCTCTGATGTACACACAAACTCCAGCCCGGGGCACAACGAAGTGTTCTAATTTGTACCCCGGGTATCAGAGATTCCACTACCATATATCATCCCGTGGGTGGCATAAGAGGCGACAGAGAGAAATTAAACAGGAGACGGGCAGCAACACATTAGTAGGGAGCATCCTTTACCTGTAACTACCACCCAATAGCACAGCATCCACTATTTTGTTCAGGTCTCAAAGATAAAGACAGCCAGTATAATTACAGGGTGTGGCACGTCCTCCCTTTAGAAGTGAAAACGCAACCCATCTGTAGCCTTCTTTATTGAAGTAGGTTGCATGTCTTCCATGTGTGACATTTTGTCCCAGTGCCTTGGCACTCAGCTTTTTTATTTTACTTTTCATTAACCTATACTTTATACAAAACTTACCAAATTCCTTCAACAAAACAAGTGCCACTAAAATTATCACTTCTTAAACTTAGTTCTAGATATGTTGTATGAAACTTCACAGATATTATCTCACAACGCTGCATTGTTGTCAAATCAAGGTTTTCTTGGATTTCCTTAAACAAATAATTACCACAGTAGTTTTCTACATTCCTAAAATTACTTAAAATTAATTTATATAAATAGAAATAGTTAAGAGGGTTGTACCAACTAAAACAGACAAAATTTAGCTTAAAGAAAACACACTTTCTAACTTTTATAAGTTTTTCTTCATTGTTTTTTTAATGTTTAATGAGACACGTAATCCTGTCTGATATTAAAATTACTGGCTTTTGAGTTCAGGGGCTTCTATTCTATTAAGGCTTAAATAACTATTTAAAAAAAATTAAATTGTCTGTCTCCCTTCTATCCAGGCTAATCTTTCGAATGGCTGAAACAATTGTGATGAAACTTTAGAAACAGACAGAAAGCAATGTCAGGAGGGATCTACGCTTTATTTTATTAAAAAAGTTTAAAGATTTTATTTTTAAAGAAACAAATAACAAATAATTTTAACATTAATATTTGATTTTGATTTGTCTTTGATTATCTTAAGTAATATTGCTACATTAAATAGATTCCATCCACGCAAAGCATCGGCTGGTACCTAGTAGATAATAACAATGCAATCTCTTACACATTTTATCAGTGTCAAATTTGAATAACTGGTGTTGTATTGACTACACTATTTTTTTATATGTGGTAGAGCCATGCTGCAATTATACTATGAGGGCTACACTAAAAGTATCGGGAATGGAATATTTTCACTGTTCCTGTAATATTAAAATCTTTTTAATTGAAAACTCCTTGGTTTTAAAAATCAAATACCATTTATTTATTTTAAAAAAAGATTCTCGGTCTTGTCACAGGGTTTTGTCAAACTTGTTTAGTCGTTGCGAAAATGGAATCGAGAATATTCAAGAGCGATGATTTATTATGACTTTCGAAGTGGTTTAACACAAAAACAGTGTGTTGACCAGATGATTTCTGCATTTGGTGATGAAGCCCCATTCAAAACCACAATTTATCGCTGGTTTGCTGAATTTCAATGTGGACGTGTCAAGCTCAGTGAGGATCCCCCGTCAAGGTCGTCCAAAAACTGCAGTCACCCAAGAAAACGTTGATGCTGTGCATAAGCTGATTGAGGAAGATCGACATGTGACATACCGCGAAATTCAGGCAACTTTAGACATTGGCATGAGTCAAATATAAATAATCTAGTATGAACAATTAGGTGTAAAAAGTTGTTTTCCCGATGGATACCGCATTCGCTCTGTGAAGAGCAAAAAGCGGCTCGCGTTACTTGGTGCGTCAGAACTCTCGAAAGATTCCACGCAGGATCCTCAAATGCTGTATACAACATCGTATCAGGTGACCAATCCTGGATATACGCGTACGAACCCGAAACAAAAAACCAGTCACAAGTTTGGGTGTTCGAAAATGAGTTAAAGCCAACATTTCGTTTTTGTTGCAAAAGCCAACAAAAACGGAGTGTTGCAAAAAAAATGGTGGCCACGTTTGTCTCCAATACCGGCCATGTTACGACTATTCCTCTTGAGGGACAAAGAACGGTTAATGCAGAATGGTATGTTAGCATTTGTATGCCACAGGTCGTTTCTGAACTCCGTAAAGAGAACTGCAGCCGCCGCATCATCCTCCATCAAGACAATGCGAGTTCTCACACCACTCACAGAACAAAAAAGTTTTTAGAGCAAGAAAACATAGAATTATTAGACCATCTGCCGTACAGCCCTGACCTAAACCCTAATGATTTCTATACTTTCCCTAAAATAAAGAATAAATTGCGTGGACAGAGATTTTCATCACCTGAAGAAGCTGTGGACGCCTACAAAACGGCCATTTTGGAGACCCCAACTTCCGAATGGAATGGTTGCTTCAATGATTGGTTCCATTGTATGGAAAAATGTGTCAAATTTCGCAGAGAATACTTCGAAAAGCAATAAATACATTTTAAATAGTAATGTTGTGTCACTTCCTTGTTTCCCGAAATTTTCAGTGCCGCCCTCGTAGTAGTATAGTTGTAGCACAAATGGGTTGGCTCAATCGGGGTAATACCACACTCTCACAGAATACCAGCGTAAAATAGTAGCTTAATCTGCTGTGTTTCGTTATGGTGAGTGTAGAGAACCGGAAACCCTTTTTACTAGAAAAGAGGCATTCCATCTTAGTCCTCATGGGTGACCATGCATCTGCATTTTGATTCGTAATCGAGGATAGATGTAGATGTCTATGGGCCACAGCAACCACTTACCATCAGGTGGACTGTGTGCTCGTTTGTCACCCTCTCCTATAAAAAAAATTACCTATCTGGTCTGGTACCTATTGCTATAAGGTAGCCACTGCTATGTTGCTCGAAACATGACAATAATTATTAAATTACTGAAAAGATATTTTACCTCTTGAAAATTTTCAACCTCCCACTGTTCTTCAAATAAATCAGTAACTTCATTCCCACTTAACTCAAATACCTTGGATGTTGAACAAGTTTTAGATGGTGAATTTTCACATGGTTTGTTTTGTTTCTCAGATGTTGTGACATTGGCTGTTAAAGCAGAAAACATCAAGAAAATACAAATAATTTTAGATTAACTACTTAACAGTCTAATCTTCTCTCTTCCTTCAAAAAATTAGGACCATGTACAAAAGTAGCCCCACTTCAAAAATTAAATTTAAAAAAAATAGTTAAATACCTTCAGAATATTTTGATGGTGTTAGTATTATTTTACTACTAGTTATGTCTTTACTATCCATATTATTAAGAGCTTCAGATGTTAACAAAACATATTCTTGGTTCTCCTTTTCTTTCATTTTGGATTTCAATTTAACAGGACTTTTTCCAATATTTAATATAGCATCTGTACTCACATCGGACAATGGTGACTTATTATTAAAATTCTCAAAAGTTTGATCACCATTTGTAAATTCTTCCATAAACTCAAGTTTAAGTCTTTCAGGTGATAATTCACCATTTGCCTTGTTATCATGTATTGGGATCTTATGAATATGATGCAAAATATTATCTTTCAATATAATCTCACTATCACCATTGTTTGTGACCTTAAGCTTTTTGGGTACATGTTTAGTTGGGCTTGATTTTTTGTGAGAATTATTCAAAGGATGTTTATGTTCTAAGCTTGAATCGTTTTGCAATGGTGAAACTGCCTTCCGTTTTGCAAGCACTACTTCTGCTGTTATATCTGGTAAATCTTTCTTTTTTGCCGGTAAAGTGAATTTTTGAGTCCCATTGATATCAGAATTTTTAAAGAAATGTGTTATAGTTTTTTGATTTTTTAAATCGATTCGATGAGTCTGAAAAAAAGTAAATAAGCACAAGCCTGTATATTTATGACGGTATTTAAAAACATAACTAAAACACCACTTAAGAATTACCTTTTTTAAACTCAGCGGCTTTGGCATGGTTAAATATTTTAAATAATTCTTAAATTATTGCTATATTTTTTAGTTTTTGTTTTTCCTATTAGCCACAGTTGTAAAGAAACTATGTTGGACGGTATAATGTTTATTAAATTCTAAAAAACATTTTTTGATTATATTGACTATGTTTTAAGATAGATTTTCTTCATCGCGGCCTTGCGGCCTTTGTTGTCTAATGTCTATAGATAATTTTTTCCCGCGGTTTTTCCTTTACATTTCGGGAATGTCAAATAATTCTCATGTCTACGTCATAGAGTCTACGGGTGCGTTTGGCAGAAAAAGCGCTAGCAAGCTTGTAACAAAATGCGTTCGTAACGGTAACAAATCGTAGTAGCTATTTTCCTCCAGGACACGATGTTAGTTTTAAGCGGGGAATCTACCAATTTAAATATATGTTTGTAAAGTATTCATTAAAAACTTACCAATCATGAGTTTAGCATGTATACATTTATTCATGTCATTATATTACTTAACAATATTGCACAAAACAACTTATCTCTACTTCAAAATCAAAAAATACAAATGCGGATTGTGTCAGCGCTACTGAAGTAGCATCTCGAAAACTATTTACCTATCCTTGCTAGCGCTTTTTTCTGCCAAACGCACCCTATGTGTCAAATTGATTTTGTCAACTTTTTATTTTTTTATTTAACTGGCTTTACGGCTCTGGGTTCTAGCCTTTATGAGCCTATCATTTTTTGCGGAATCTTCATTTTTATATATTTTTTCTTCACAATATACTGATGCGACACATTGCAAAGTTTTTGGGATAAGACAGCTCAACCCAGCGGACTGTTGATGATGACAGCCACTAAAGTTCATAAAACGCTCAAGCGATCAAAATAACTTGAGGTTTGTATCAACATCAAAGCACATGTTTCGTCGTTTTCTCTAATAGTTAACACGCGCAGACACATAATTCACAAAATCGCATCACTTTTATGAATCAAAATCCACTTCAAACCATTAAGCGACAATCCGTCGACGGCTAAGATCCCGTCAAAACTCCTGATTTTGTTTTTGTCAACACTTCATCAAAGCCAAAGAGTAAATTATAATCAAAATGTTTTACAAAGTTGTAAAAAAAACCTAAGTAATATATTGTTTGTGGTGTAGAATCTCAGCTCAGAGTAAAGGCGGCTCTTTGAGTATTAAACCAAAGAAGACTGCATCGCAAGGCATTCCCCTCTGTCAAAGGTACAAGAGTCCGACTCATACCTGTTATATAAAACTATTTACCCCGCGTCGTGCGCTATTACGCAAGTGATCATGTCAGTCAATTGAGTTTTGACAAAAATGCCGAATTGTAGTGTATTTTCATGCATGCAAAAGAGCCATGGTAGCTCAGATGGTTAGCGCTCGCTGTAAATTTCACAGTACGAGTACGCGAGAAAACCGGGTTTGATCGCCGCCGGCATCAATGAAATTGTTAATTGCAATTTTAAGTACTCATTTACCACGTGCTGAGCGGTGAAGGAAAACATGAGAAAACCTGCATGTCTGCGTAATACGAAAAAAAATTCGAAGACATGTAAAATTCGCCAACACGCATTGGGGCAGCGCTGCGGACACTTCCTAGCCCTACTAACCATCTCAGAAATGAGGAGAGACCCGAGCCCAGCAGTGGGATGTATAAAGGCTGTAACTTTTCATGCAAAAAACAATAAGAACCGTCAAATCTACAAAAGGACAAAGTAGCTTTTCATCTGTAAATATTTTTAATAAAATATTATCGATTTCTTAAATTTACGCGAACACTACACATTGAATAAAACTAAATTTACGGATTTTATCGCGTTTATTTCACTACTTTTACTTATTTTTAATTCCCGACGTTTCGGGTGCTTTACAGCAAACATGGTCACGGGGGGGACTGAGATGTTTGACGTCTCAATGTCATAGTTAGTCCGGCCACCTTCAGTTTTTGAATATTAATTTTTGGTCCGATTTACGCAAAACGAGCTTATAGTATCATGAAGTTTTGCAGTGGTATGCTTAGGTTTGGGTTTAATTTTCTTAATTATAGGATCCAAGCAGGTGGCAGCACCACCATATCATCCTTGGTAGGAATCGGTGTTCTTTTGCGAGAATTTGTGGTTTATCAAATCGAATGTAATGGTGGGGACGATCTTGAACATGTTCGCAAACTGCAGACTTCCCGGAGCGTCGGTGCTTCACGTCAGCTATATGTTCTTTCACGCGGGTTTTTATGGATCTTTTTGTTTGACCTATGTAAGAGAGACCACATTCACAATCTAACTTGTACACTCCTGCATCTTGTAGAGGGATATTATACGGTACGAGGCTTTTTCCCCAATGGTTGTCGGTTCTTCGAGCTATATGGCCGGCCCATTGCCACTTCAGTTTACTAATCCGTTGGGCTATGTCGGTCACTATGGTTCTACTGCGGATATGCTCATTTCTAAGTTTATCACGCAGAGAAATTCCGAGCATAGCCCTCTCCATAGCTCGCTGAGCGACTTTCAGCGTCCTCATACGGCCTACAGTGAAGGACCACGTCTCGGTACCGTAGGTCAGTACTGGCAACACGCACTGGTTGTACAGCTTAGTTTTCAGGTTTTGAGGTATACCTGACGAGAAGATATGTCGTAATTTCCCGAACGCTACCCAGCCGAGTTGAATCCGTCGATTGACCTCTCGGTCGAAGTTAGACTTACCTAGTCGGGGTATTTGTCCCAGATTCCCGTACTCGTCAACAATTTCGAGCTCAGTGCTCCCAACAAATACCGGCATAGGTGTGACATGGACATTAAACATGATCTTTGTTTTGTCCATGTTCATCTTAAGACCTATCCGTTGGGAGGCACTATTGAGGTCATTGAGCATAGTGCTTAAGTTCTCCAGCGATTCTGCCATAAGGACTATATCGTCGGCAAATCGAATGTGAGTGATGTACTCGCCATTGATGTTAATACCGCATCCTTTCCAGTCCAGTAGCTTGAAAACGTCTTTCAATGCAGCGGTGAAGAGTTTCGGGGAAATAATGTCACCCTGTCTTACACCTCTCTGCAGTTGGATAGGTTTCGTACTCTGGTTCTGTACTCGGATAGCCATCGTAGCCCTGTACAAATACTTCATCACTTCGATATACCGACAGTCAACTTGGCACCGCTGAAGTAACTGTAGCGTCGCCCAAATTTCGACGGAATCAAAGGCTTTCTCATAGTCCACATACGCCAGGCAAAGTGGCAGATTGTACTCTTCGGACTTCTGTATAATTTGCCGAAGGGTATGTATGTGGTCTATGGTACTACAGCGTTTTCGGAAACCGGCTTGTTCAGGAGGCTGGAAGTCGTCGAGTCTGAGTGCGAGATGATTCGTAATGATTTTCGAAAACAGCACGTAGACGCGGCTCAGAAGGGATATCTGTCTGTAGTTCTTCAAGAGGGAGTTGTCACCTTTCTTAAAGAACAAGACCACCGCACTTCTGCTCCACGCCTCTGGAGTAGTGCCAACATGGAGGACGCCTAGCTTATAGAGCCTCTGAAGGACTTCAAGTACCGGTTTTCCACCCGCTTTCAGAATCTTCGCTGTAATTCCATCCTCGCCCGGGGACTTGCCGTTTTTAAGGTGCTGGTCAGCCATTCTAATCTCGCTCAGACTGACGTCCGGGTTAAAATCGAAATAGTGTCGGATAAGACTTGCTCTTGGATCGTTAGTCACACTTACGTGTGGTTCCAACGATGATGTGTACTCATCTGCTGATAGAATGCCATAGAACCTCTCAATCTCACTCAGAATCTCAGGTGTCTCGAAAACGATACTGCCACACTCAGTCTTCAGCTTTGACAGTTGGCTCTTATTGGCAGACAGATCTCTGGTAAAGACTTTGGAGCCCTGGTTCCGCTCGATCGCTTCTTCAATACGAACAGTATTAAAGTTACGTAAGTCTCGCCGCATGCGTTTGGAGATCTGTCTGTTTAGTTGCCTGTATGCTGTCAAATCTGTTGACGATTGCAGCCTCATCTCCCGTCTAACAGCCATGAGATTAAGAGTGTGATCGAATAGTTTTTGTGTTCTTCTGCGGCGGGTCTTGCAGAACTTAGCTCCGACCGCATGGACAGTTTCCACGAGCTTGTCATTCATATCGTCCACTGCATTGCTATCTTCTAGGCACTGAAAGCGGTTACGTAACTCGAGCTGAAATGTTTCGGGGTTCTGGATCAGAGCACGAGGGGGACGGAACGTTGACTTCATTAGAAGAGACCTCTCAAACTTAACGTTTAGGTTCAGTGTGGCTCTAACCACTCGGTGATCGCTACCAGTTTTCATCCTTGCTATCACTGAGGCATCACTGAACAGTTGGCGTCTGGTCGTCATAATGAAGTCAATCTCATTTTTTGTCGAACCGTCGGGGCTCGACCAGGTCCACTTCCTGTGAGGCCGCTTCTGGAAGAAAGAGTTCATCATAAAGAGTCCCTCTGTCTTCATAAAGTCGGCCAGCTGCTGGCCCCTACGTTTCCATTGCCCTACTCCAAATTTCCATACCTTCAGCTCACCGCTTTCTCTTGTGTCTAATTTTGCGTTGAAGTCTCCAGTCAACACCGTGTAGTGGGTTTTGGAGGAATGCATGGCTCTGGAAATATCCTCATACATTTCCTCCACCTCCTCATCGGGATATACCGAAATTGGTGCGTAAACCTGTATGACCTTCAGCGAATACCGTTTGGTGATTCTGAGTATCAGATACGCGACCCTCGTCGACACACTCCCAATCTTTACAACGTTGTTGACGAGAGACTTGTGGACGATAAATCAGACAACTCTTTGGGACAGATAATCGCCCTCCCGGTGATAGAACAAGTTGCCGGACTCAAGGATTATCGTGTCCTCCCCCTCTCTTCGGACCTCGGATAATCCAATAATATGCCAGCGCAAATTTTCTACCTCTTCTTCCAACTCCTGTATCTTCTCGTCAGTCCTCAGGGTGCGTGCGTTGTATGTTGCCAGGTCGAGTCATC